TTCGGTCAAAAAAGTTTCAAAATTCTCGCAAAGTCTGCCTTCCCCTTGCCGGGAGGGGGTGGGGGCCTCCCTGCCTTACCTTCCTACCCCTTCCCTAGCCTCCTGACCCTCCCTTCTTCCCTCCCTAGCCCCGTGATCACAGGACAGGCCGCATATGCTTTAATCACTCTAGTATGATAACTCATAACAGCCCCTATGATAAATGATCCTTGATAATTTATGTGGATAATTAATTATTCTGCTCCAGCGATTATTTGGAAAGTTTGTTGTCCTTTTCGGTAAACTTTTGCTGCACCGGCCTCTTTCCCCCCCCCCCCCCCCATGATGAGAGGGCCGGGGAGGCTCGTCTCGGAGTGGGGGACTGATGGAGTGTAACCCCCTGGACACATGTAGTGCAGACCTCCGCTCCTCTTAACACATTGCTGTGTCATGTGTCATGTTCCGATTCTAATGACGTAGTTCAACCCCCCCCCCCCCTCTCTCTCTCATTAATTAACTAGATAACATGTCAATACTGACTCTTGATTAAAACAGACAGCCTTAGGAGCCCACCACACACCCCACACAGCCCTGGGAGCCCACCACACACCCCACACAGCCCTGGGAGCCCACCACACACCCCACACAGCCCTGGGAGCCCACCACACAGCCCTGGGAGCCCACCACACACCCCACACAGCCCTGGGAGCTCACCACACACCCCACACAGCCCTGGGAGCCCACACACCACCCCACACAGCCCTGGGAGCCCACCACACACCCCACACAGCCCTGGGAGCCCACCACACAGCCCTGGGAGCCCACCACACACCCCACACAGCCCTGGGAGCTCACCACACACCCCACACAGCCCTGGGAGCTCACCACACAGCCCTGGGAGCTCACCACACACCCCACACAGCCCTGGGAGCTCACCACACACCCCACACAGCCCTGGGAGCTCACCACACACCCCCACACAGCTCTGGGAGCTCACCACACACCCCACACAGCCCTGGGAGCCCACCACACACCCCACACAGCACTGGGAGCTCACCACACACCCCACACAGCCCTGGGAGCCCACCACACACCCCACACAGCCCTGGGAGCCCACCACACACAGCTCTGGGAGCTCACCACACACCCCACACAGCTCTGGGAGCCCACCACACACCCCACACAGCTCTGGGAGCCCACCACACACCCCACACAGCTCTGGGAGCCCACCACACACCCCACACAGCTCTGGGAGCCCACCACACACCCCACACAGCTCTGGGAGCCCACCACACACCCCACACAGCCCTGGGAGCTCACCACACACCCCACACAGCTCTGGGAGCTCACCACACGCCCCACACAGCTCTGGGAGCCCACCACACACCCCACACAGCTCTGGGAGCCCACCACACACCCCACACAGCTCTGGGAGCCCACCACACACCCCACACAGCTCTGGGAGCTCACCACACATATTCGTTTGCCTTGTTCGGGTAGAATGTAGACTCAGTAGTCGCTTCTGTATATATATATTGACTGAGATAGCAAGGTAAATATCTGCCTAGCCGAGGTCCTTCTACTCTGAGTCTGTGAGGATAACTGAGGCTGCTGGGAGCATGCCTGATGCTCCTCTGTCTGGCATGACGTCAGAGGCCTACTCGCCTGTGATTGGTTACATTTCAACTGACAGAATTTGAGTATAACACACACCCCACACAGCTCTGGGAGCTCACCACACACCCCACACAGCCCTGGGAGCCCACCACACACCCCACACAGCTCTGGGAGCCCACCACACACCCCACACAGCTCTGGGAGCTCACCACACACCCCACACAGCTCTGGGAGCCCACCACACACCCCACACAGCTCTGGGAGCCCACCACACACAGCTCTGGGAGCCCACCACACACAGCTCTGGGAGCTCACCACACACCCCACACAGCTCTGGGAGCTCACCACACAACCCCACACAGCTCTGGGAGCCCACCACACACCCCACACAGCTCTGGGAGCCCACCACACACCCCACACAGCTCTGGGAGCCCACCACACACAGCTCTGGGAGCCCACCACACACCCCACACAGCTCTGGGAGCCCACCACACACCCCACACAGCTCTGGGAGCCCACCACACACCCCACACAGCTCTGGGAGCCCACCACACACCCCACTACGGGGGCCTCGTAGCCTGGTGGGGGGGCCTCGTAGCCTGGTGGATAGCGCGCAGGACTCGTAATTCTGTGGCGCGGGTTCGATTCCCGCACGAGGCAGAAACAAATGGGCTAAGTTTCTTTCACCCTAAGTGCCCCTGTTACCTAGCAGTAAATAGGTACCTGGGAGTTAGTCAGCTGTCACGGGCTGCTTCCTGGGGTGTGTGTGGTGTGGGAAAAGTAGTTAGTAAACAGTCGATTGACAGTTGAGAGGCGGGCCGAAAGAGCAAAGCTCAACCCCCGCAAAAACACAACTAGTAAACACACAGCTCTGGGAGCCCGTCAACAACGTGTTAAAGGATGACAACTACACCTTCCTCCTGCTATAATATTCACACCCAACAATGTCCGCTGCATCAGATTTTAACGTCAAAAATTATGCCGCTGATTAAGTCAGATGATTACTTCATTACGCGATGTTTCTAAAACAGGAACTGCAAAACGTTATTAAACCCAGTTGTTGGTTCGTTCAGAGGAACGAGAGGACTAAAATGCAAGTCTGTTGGTTCGTTTAGAGGAACGGGAGGACTAAAATGCATGTCTGTTGGTTCGTTTAGTTCATGAAAGAACGAGGGTCTTAAAATATTGTGAGTAAATATGGGTATTTTGATACCTGTTCGGAAGCTATTTAACAAAGTCTAAGCATGGATGGATGTGAACTATGGGACCTATAAAATGCTGACCTTAAGCTTAATTGTGAATGTTGGAAATGTTGTAGACGTATTTTGGGTCTCCCTGCAACCTGTCCTAATAGAACGTCGCATTTTGACGTACACTCTACCTAAGGGCAAAACATTGTCGTACTAGAAAAATGGTAGCGGCTGGCGGAATTGACATCCTGTCCCTTTTTGTTTTGGGTCCTCTGGTAGGTTAGGATTAGGGCACTTTAGTTCGACAGTTTTTTTTTTTACCTTGGGAAACCTTAGGAGGATGGGCTGGTATCCATCCTTGGCATTTTTTTTATTATTATTATTTTTCTACCACAGACGTGGCCACACATTTACAATGCTAACCAGCCTTTATGCATTTTCTTCTGTCCTCCATGGACAGGGTGAGAGGATCCTCGCACTCATTGTAGTCTCTTACCTGGCCTGATATCCACACCCACACTTGAAATGATTCATAAACTAATTATATATTTTTGTCTGAAAGAAATCACCCATCCAGTAAACTCAATCAACTTTCCAGGCACTCGCTTGTCACTCACTTTGCCAGAAATATGAACTTAATTGTTAGGGAATACAATTCGAGAATGAGCGAAGTATAAAATGCTGTAGCAGGTACGTAGGATGGAATTAAACTAGTCAGCACACACACCCAGATGGCTATTTGGTATTATGAAGGAACTACTGTCACAGATGGATTACTGGTAGGCATTTTGAGTCCAATTGAAGTTACAGTGTTATATGAGCGATAGGTTTGGTGTGTTTGAGCCTGGAGAGCCTCAGGATCTGTGGATATAGAAGGCTAATGGTGCATATATCTATACGTCATATGATCAGTTATTAGTTCTACTGCTAATTGTCTTTAATTTTATAATATAGGTTGTGCCAATGTATGTCTTGCTGCTCTAATGTTAAACCTCACTGTCTTCCAAACATATCTTCTAAATTGTTAGCCGAATGTCACTCACCTTATACCCAATATGCAAGTTTGATTACAGTACACCTGTTTAGTCCAGCCAGTATGGAAATGACTACTGTTTATGTAAACTTTCCCCAATTACAAGTGTGCTACCATTTATGAATAGTCTGATATGATTTGAAAATGCGAGGCTGTTTGTCCATATAGACGAACAAGCAGTTAAACTGGCATGCCAATCGCGAGAGGACAAATCAGATATTCTAATTTGTTTTATATAGAGAGAACGCATACAATTTATTTTTAAAGTACAGAAATTTTATATTTTTGTAATATAAACAGCAACCGGAACAATGCCATTAACTAAATTTATTAATTTTATATAATATTTAACCAGATGCTTTTTTTTTTTAAATAATACAACGTCACAGGCCACGATTCAAGGAGTATTTGCATGTCCAGTTACGAAACTGATTTTACCTCAATCATGGCACCTTTGTAATGAAATGAGCTACGGGAATGTCCTTGTCGAGAAACGCCTCTACACACTTTCGATTGGTTTAATAGATGACAGTCACTATGCTTGCTTTGCGAGAATAATAAAAGATTTAGGAAAAGTAGATACAGAGTTACAAACATTACGATTGTTTTATAGATAGAGGTAGTACATACAATACCTAAAGCCACTAGTACGCAGAGAGTTTCGGGCAAGTTATATTTTTATAAAATTAAATAATATAAATAAAAATAAAAATATGGCAAATAAAATTATTAAATTGCCATAGCTTGTATATAAAGATCCGTGTGGCTATATATTTGTCTTTTCAAGTTGGCAAAGTATGTTAGTTAAATCAACGTTAATCATTTTAACGAGGATTCTAAAAGGGTTACGTCAACGTAGTTTGCACAAAGGGGAGCGTCCCTTTTTATTTAGAGATTACGGGCACTATAACCCAAGCACTTGTTTAGCAACCCTTCGTCGCCATTTTCTGTAATAATGGGTAACATACAATAGATAAATTTCGATTAGATTTTTTATTAAGGTAAATACATACATTGAAGACGAGTTACAAGCAATGTTGGAATTTAAGGAGCTCTTGCATAAAAGATCTAAAGTCACTAGTACGCATAGAGTTTCGGGCAATAACTCTTCTAGTTGTCATATGAAACAGCTATGATGAACAGAACTAATTCTGTTCAACCAAAAAAAGTTTAAATAAAAATGTTGGGGAGGGACATTTGATAAGCAACCAGTTTCATGTCCACGTCGAGGACATGAGGGTTAGGGCTCAGGCACGATAGTGAAGATACATTGAATTTCATTAAAATACTTCATATATCGCCAATTTGGTGGGCAATACAGAGTCAAGAAGTATTTTTTTTTAATTTATATATTGCCTGTAGACAGTGATATTTAATTGCACTGCTGTTGATCGATCGTTAATTATCTAGTCTGAAAAATTATGTATCGTTTGAGCCACTTCCCTGTTGTGGATGGCTGATCTTTTACTCGGGAACATCAGGGCCTCTTGGTACAGGTGGCTTCGTTCTCTGTTCACAATCCGGGACTCTGGGTTCTATTCCTGGGCGGGACAAATGGTTGAAAACTTTTCTATAATACTAGTTATTTTACCAGTGAATAGATACTTTGAGTTTAGCACTTTTTGGCCCGGTGAAGATTAAAGACAATGGGTTAATTAAATACCATTTAAAAAAAAACTTTATACCCGATTTCATCAGCGCTGCAGTCGCTCGCCTTCGTCTGAAATAGAAATTTCAATCAATATAACATTTAAAGCCTTAAGCAATTATACTAAAGTTAATAATGGAGCAAGAAATTATCCTTTTCATAAGAAATGCTGTATAAAAAGTCATTCCCGTTTAATGCTGTTAACACAACATGTAGAAAGTAAAAGCTAAATGTATGACATACGCTAGTGGCAATTCATTGTTAAATATAGCCAAATAAAGGCCTTGCCGAGATTTTTAAATTTAAAAACCAGCAAGGGAACAACTCCCCGTGGCTATCAAAGTGAGAAATTATCTAACTTTAGAAAGTTAAATTCTTGTTCAAATACAATAGTTATGAAAAAAGTTTAAATTATGTGTTAGGTAGACCAACGGGCTCACCATAGCCCGTGATACTTTGAACTTTGTTCCAAGTAGAGAATCGTAAAACAACAACATGATGTTAGCTAGAGTACTGATGCAAGGTGAAGCTTTAACAGCAACGGTCCTAGTTTTGCTTAGCTTTACATGGTATAGAGTTATGGCTCCGTGCGTCAACTTTGGGAGTACGTATGACGATGGTGGGACGCCGTGTTCTGCAGCACGTCCTCCAAACAAAGACCAAGAGTTATTCCATACACCCGGCAAACCTCACGTTCATGAGTGAAGAACAGTTTACGCAAGACAACTGACGTCGTTCGAACCCTTCCGGACCAAGTGCTTCATTGACGGAGTTTTTAATCAACGCTGTAAACGATTTAACGTACTACAAATACAAATAATTGTCAACAGAACCTAAACACTTAAACCTATATATATACGCACAATAAGTTAATATATTGTAATATTTTATATTCAAGAAAATTCGGTTTTAATGAACAGCATGTAAAAATATATGAATGCGTCTGTGGGGGTCGACCGCTGAATGTAATGGACTTCAGTCCAGAACGGATTGGTGTCCTGTGTTCCTGGTGTGGTGGCTGGCGAGCTTACAGGCAAGTATTGGGTGGTATAAGCAAGCTGACAATACTCCCAGGACCGTCTGAGGTGTTAACAGTAACACCATCGACACGACTGCTGCTGACTAGGCTTCCAGCTCCGACATCAACACAGAGGGCGCGCGATTAGCATGGTTCCCTAGAGCAGTTACATCGTTTAAAAGGTTGGAAGGTTCAGTTGAATAGTAAGGCCAAGTAATAATAATCATACTAAATTGATGAACCCACATATTTTTTTTATACAAGAGTTCTTACATTCTTGTACAGCCACTAGTACGGGCTGTACTAGTGGCTGTACAAGGTCCTTAATCCTAATTTTCCCCGGATTACGACCCGCCAAATAGTTTAACAACCCATTCACTGCTGGGTGAATAGAGGCTACAGTTATGGATTGGCGCCAAGTAAATCCTCCCCACCCAGGATACGAACCTAGGCCAAAGCGCTTGCGAAGCGCCGAGCGAGTGTTTTTACCATGTAGCCAGTATATTATTGGCATAATCTACTCGCTACAACCACTACACCACGGGGACAACTATTTCGAATCCGATTGATTATGTAAGATTGATTAATAAAGATTAAGCCACCCTAAAGGTGGCACGGGCATGAATAGCCCGTAAATTTCGAATACGTCCAACCTTTTCTTTTAATAGTGGCAAGATACAGATTTTCTTTCTGATGTATTCACCTAGTTGTGCTTGCGGGGGTTGAGCTCTGCTCTTTCGGCCCGCCTCTCAACTGCTACTAACTACTAACATATCCCTCCCTCCCCCCTTCCACACACACACACACCCAGGAAGCAGCCCGTAGCAGCTGTCTAACTCCCAGGTACCTATATATTGCTAGGTAACAGGGGCATGACGGTGTAAGAAACTCTACCCATTGTTCCTCGCCGAGAATCGAACCCGTGCCACAGGATTACGTGTCCAGCGTGCTGTCCACACACCCATAATGGTTGTGGGAGTTGTATCGTGGGAAAGATCAGTAGTTCCACCATGGGGAAACCCTCCTTACAAGCCTATATGCTGACCTGCCTCGTGAGGCAACCCACAACAGTTTCTTAACTCCCTGATACTTATTTACTGCTAGGTGAAGAGAAGTATCGGGTGAAAGGAAACGTAGCACAATTGTCTTCGTCCTCCACTCATAACCCAGGGATCCTGATTCAATGCCCAGGCAAGTCAGAATCGGTTGGGCACTTTTCATTTCACCCGATGCCTCAGTTCACCTAGCAGTAAAACTGATACCCGTGAGTTAGGCAGCTGTTGTGATATCAACATATCACAAGTGCAAGATGTCAAGTGCATCCTGGGGGTAGGTCGGCACAGGGGAACTTCCATAAGCCTGACTTCAGACTTCTCCCATAAACGGAAATTATTGAAACGACTCTTGTCCTTCGTGGGAATCGAACCCAGAGTGGGAATCGAACCCAGAATCTTTCTTCGGCAACTCTTACTCTCACTCCATCACGTCACTTATCGTTCATCTACAACTGAAAATAAATTATTTTGAATTAAAGAAAATTTAGTGAAGAAAACGGGAAATTAAATACACACCGGCAACCAAAATAGTCAAACTTAAAAATACCTCGTTTTTTTTAGAAATAGCACCTCGTTAGGGAACTTTTTTCGTGGTTCATTGCAATTTGAAGTATATATTAGCAATTTAAATCTATTTTCAGGAATAAAACTCATGAATAACATAAAATATGGCACTTAAAACTATGAATATAAAGGGAAGAAGGAGGAGGGTAGAGAAATATAGATGAATAAAGGAGAGTTACGGAGATGAGGTAAAGGAAGGGAGGGTGAAAGATGAATAGAAAAAGAGAAAAAAGTGTGAAGGTAAAGTGTAAACGGAGATGGAAGGAGTGGGACATAAGGGGTCAACTTTGATAGTCCGGGAAAACCTTTTTCTGACACGTTTCAGCTTGGAAAAATCCATTTCATTTCCCCTTTTCTTGTATATGAGTGTGTCTTACTCTCTCGTTCTCGTTCTCTTTCTCTTTCTCTCTCTCTCTCTCTCTCTCTCTCTCTCTCTCTCTCTCCTCTCTCTCTCTCTCTCTCTCTCTCTCCTCTCTCTCTCTCTCTCTCTCTCTCTCTCTCTCTCTCTCTCTCTCTCTTTCTCTCTCTTCTCTCTCTCTCTTTCTCTCTTTCTCTCTTTCTCTCTCTCTCTCTCTCTCTCTTTCTCTCTTTCTCTCTCTCTCTTTCTCTCTTTCTCTCTTTCTCTCTCTCTCTCTCTCTCTCTCTCTCTCTCTCTCTCTCTCTCTCTCTCTCTCTCTCTCTCTCTCTCTCTCTCTCTCTCTCTCTCTCTCTCTCTCTGGGAAAGGCATGAGGACACATTAAGGGAACTGCACCAGAGAAACATATTCATAATCCATAATTTTATTCATAAGAATGTGTACACAAAGAAAAAAAGAGGAAAGGACTATTGTGGGGACAGGAGTCACACTGACAAATGAAGCAACAAATACGCAAAGCGTTTCAGGCAAAACATAGGCTTACAATATACATATACGAATACAAATATTTATTCAGGTAAAGTACATACATACAAGGTAAGATACAAAAAGTTGATGGATTTATAGATAGAGCTAGTACATACAATGCCTAAAGCCACTATTACGCAAAGCGTTTCGGGCAGGAAAAATACTAAGACTAAAACTTAATACTAATTGAGATTAAAGTATAAATTGTGTTGAGAAAAAATAAAAAAAATGGAAAAAGGGGGAAACATGGCAGAAAAAAAAGCAAAAATACAATTTAGTCAACAAACAGCATTGTTTAAAATAGTAGACATGGGTTGACATTTTGGGGGTGAGGTAGGTTACATGGAGTTAATTAGGTAGTACTTAGTTTTTATCTTAAACTGGTTGGGAGAAGTACAGTCTTTAACATAATTGGGAAGTTCATTCCACATTCTGGGTCCCTTGATTTGTAAAGCATTTCTAGTTTGATTAAGTCGTACTCTTGGAATATCAAATAAGTATTTATTTCTGGTGTGGTGCTCATGGGATCTGTTACAACCTTCTAGGAAGCTTTTAAGGTCAGGATTGACATTACAGTTCAGCGTTTTATATATATAAAATACACACGAGAGGATGTGCAGTGACTTAATATCTAAGTTGTGACTTGTTTCGTTAGCATAGGACAGTGGGTGTTATAAAGGCTGAGAGTTTTTTGAAGAAATGATTGCACTGCTAGGTTGATGTCTCCTATGTTCCCTAATTCAAATTCCCAGTTGATATCAGCAGCAGCAGCTATAAAATTGCCTATAGCAGTTTCATTGTGCAGCCTAAAGCTTATCTCCCTTGTCTCTAGAGATGGTTTGTTAATGTTGGTTAGGAGAAATGTGGGGTAATGGTCTGTAGTGCTATTGATAATTATCCCTGTAGTAAGCGGAGAGGTTATGTTTGTCCAGATGTGATCAAGACCCGTGGCAGTACTGTCAGTGATGCTAGTAGGTCTAGTGTTTAAGGGTATGAGGAAGCAGGAATTCATACAGTTGGTTATATAAGATACAACATAGACAAAAGAAAATGTTTACAATGAATAATAACGGGAAGAGAAGATACAGAGGGAAGCAAGGAACAAAAGAGAGTCACAAGCATGTATAGACATCTTCTAACATAGGTATGTTAGGAGGTAGGTATGGGACCAGAGTCGTAGCATCAATGACAACCGGAGGCGGAAAAGGAAGGGTCCAAGAGCTGAGGCACAATGCTGTCGACACCTGAGATGAACACAAATAGATGAACACACATGTAGTTAATAGTAAACACACACACACACACACAGACGCCTAAATTGTTGCATAGTCACATTAGGAGAAAAACAACAGTAAAGGAACAGGTTATGAGATTAAGGATAGGGGCGGAAGGATTCACTACAAATGACAAGGAAGTGTGTGAGGAATTGAATAAGAAATTCCAGGAGGTCTTCACCTTAGAACAAGGAGAAATTCCAGAGGTAAGTGAGGGAATAGCTAACCAGGAACCACTGGAAGAGTTTGAGATTACCAGTGGGGAAGTAAGGAAGTGTTTACTAGAGTTGGACGTGACGAAGGCTATAGGCCCAGATGGAATCTCCCCTTGGGTTCTAAAGGAAGGAGCAAGAGAACTGAGCCTACCACTCTCCATAGTGTATAACAAATCACTGGCAACAGGGGAACTGCCAGATATTTGGAAAGCAGCTAACGTAGTCCCGATATACAAGAAAGGGGATAGACAGGAGGCACTGAACTACAGGCCAGTGTCCCTAACCTGCATACCATGCAAGCTGATGGAGAAGATTGTGCGAAAAAAAAACTAGTGGAGCATCTGGAGCGAAGGAACTTTGTAACACAGCATCAACATGGGTTCAGGGATGGCAGGTCCTGCCTCACAGGGTTACTTGAATTCTACGACCAGGCAACAAAAATAAGGCAAGAAAGAGAAGGGTGGGCAGACTGCATATTTTTGGATTGTCAGAAAGCCTTTGATACAGTACCACACAAGAGGCTAGTGCGAAAGTTGGAGATGCAGGCTGGAGTGAGAGGGAAGGTACTCCGGTGGATAGAGGAATACCTAAGCAACAGGAGACAACGAGTCTGTGTGAGGGGTGAGGCCTCAGATTGGCGAGACGTCACAAGTGGAGTCCCGCAGGGGTCAGTCCTTGGACCTATACTGTTTCTGGTATATGTAAATGATCTCCCAGAGGGTATAGATTCGTTCCTCTCAATGTTTGCCGACGATGCAAAAATTATGAGGAGGATTGAAACAGAGGATGATAGTAGGAGGCTACAAGATGACCTGGATAGACTGAGTGAATGGTCCAACAAATGGCTGTGAAGTTCAACCCGAGTAAATGCAAAGTAATGAAACTAGGCAGTGGAAACAGGAGGCCAGGCACAGGATACAGAATAGGAGATGAAGTACTTAATGAAACAGACAGAGAGAAAGATCTAGGAGTTGATATCACACCAAACCTGTCTCCTGAAGCCCACATAAAGAGAATAACGTCTGCGGCATATGCGAGGCTGGCTAACATCAGAACGGCGTTCAGGAACCTGTGTAAGGAATCATTCAGAATCTTGTACACCACATATGTAAGACCAATCCTGGAGTATGCGGCCCCAGCATGGAGCCTGTACATTGTCAAGCACAAGACGAAGCTGGAAAAAGTCCAAAGGTATGCTACTAGACTAGTCCCAGAACTAAGAGGCATGAGTTATGAGGAAAGGCTGCGGGAAATGCACCTCACGACACTGGAAGACAGAAGAGTAAGGGGGGACATGATCACAACCTACAAAATCCTCAGGGGAATCGACCGGGGTAAACAAGGATGAACTATTCAACACTGGTGGGACGCGAACAAGGGGACACAGGTGGAAGCTGAGTACCCAAATGAGCCACAGAGACGTTAGAAAGAACTTTTTCAGTGTCAGAGTAGTTAGTAAATGGAATGCATTAGGAAGTGATGTGGTGGAGGCTGACTCCATACACAGTTTCAAATGTAGATATGATAGAGCCCAATAGGCTCAGGAATCTGTACACCAGTTGATTGACGGTTGAGAGGCGGGACCAAAGAGCCAGAGCTCAACCCCCGCAAGCACAATTAGGTGAGTACAATTAGGTGAGTACAGAGGCTGGACCCAAGAGCTCTAGTTCATCCCCTGCAAGCACAACTAGGTGAGTATGCGCTGAGTCTCCACTCTCCCTACGCTATTAATCAGCTGTTATTCTGACGAATGGTGTAGCAGCAGGAATTAATTATCACCATTTATAATGTCCCGACTATGCAGTTGCTGGAGGGGCCATTAGTGGGAATACAACCAGTAGTTTTTATACAATTTTGTAGCTTCTATGTATGAACGTTTAACATCGATTTGCTTTTAGGGATGTGTGGAGCTTTTCATAGTTCTTATTTGACATAGCAAACAGTGGTAAGGGATCAGGTACACGGAGGAAGGTGGACGGGTAAGAGGGTGGAGAACATGGGTGGAGGAAGGACATGGTGGAGAGGGACAAGGATGGAAAAGGGTCAAGGGAGGTGGAGGAAAACCCGTGATGAGAAGAATAAAGAAGTGAGAGGATCAGGAAGAGCGGTATTGAGAGGAGGAGGGAGTCAGGAGTGTGGTGGAGTAAGGGCTTAAAGGGGAGAGAGAGAGGGCGAGAATGAATGATGAGAGGGGAAACAGGCAGCTGAGGGGATGGTGAGTGGAAGAACCAGGCCAGAGTTGTGGGTAGGGGGGGTGTGGGGGAGCTGGTGGGTGGGGGTGAGAGAAGTGCATGGCAAAAGGGTGAGAGATGCCCACTGGGTGTTGTGGGGTGAGAGCAAGGGGTTAAGAGGAGCCTAGGGTGAGGGAGCGGACGGTGAAGGGGATGACAGAGAAACAGCGGCGTGAGGGAGGAGCAGCTACAGGATGTTGAGAAGGACAGAGATCAGACAAGCAGACAGAAAAGTACGCAGGCAGGCCGAGAGGCAAGCAGGCAGGCCGTCAGGCAAGCAGGCAGGCCGTCAGGCAAGCAGGCAGGCCGTCAGGCAAGCAGACAGGCCGTCAGGCAAGCAGGCAGGCCATCAGGCAAGCAGGTAGGACGACAGACAAGCAGGCAAGCCGACAGACAAGCAGGCAGGATGGCAGGTAGTCATTCAAGCAGACATATACTGCGTTAAAACACAAAACACAACTCTTTAAGTATTATTGGCCAGTGTCGTGCCACTTGCAATTTGACTGCGGTGTGTTGCTCATACCAACTGTCACACAAGAAACTAATTTCATTACCAACTCGCACCAGTAACTAGATCAAAAATATATATATAAATACTTCATAATTGTTTCAACAGCTTCGTTGTAGAATGAGGTTCCTTTTGTTTCAACAACAAAGGGCCTCAAATCGGAAACATGAAGCATTAAAAGTTCCCTCTCCTTAATTGAATGAGGTTCCTCTCGCTCCTAACGTGACAGATCTTTATAATGAGAAACCTTATTAACATGGGCCTAATTGAGGTCTGTTAGACATCACAAGTGCGACGTAAACACTACTAAATGTACACCAGCTCTTCTGTACACCTGAATATGGAGGGAAATCACATGGAGGAACACTGGGTCGAAGGGACACAAGGGGTGACACCAGATGAAAGGACACAGGGAAGGACCAGGAAGAGGGAGACAGAGAGAGAGAGAGAGAGACCAGGCCGAGGGGACACAGAGAGAGAAGGATCAGGACGAGGGGGAATTTTAAACGAACGAGGAGAGACGAGGGGAAATTAGGATAAGGAGAAAGAATCAGCTAAGCTCCAGAATATGGCAAAGAGAGTGACTGTATTACTCCCCTCACGATGAGTTACGTGAGATCGAGAGAGTACGTGAACCATCTCGGGCGAAGAGGTTGTGGAATCAAACCACATTAACGAATTCAAATGTATACAAAACATAGCCCAATATAAGGTTTGATAGGCTACTCGCTGATCTACCAAAGGTTAGAAGCTTGAGATCAATCCTCACTATCACATACAATTAAACAAACACCGTCCATAGTCTAAATCGCCAAATTGTATTTTTCGAGAGCATCTCCAAGCCTCGAAGACTGTCAGTTCTGCTTTATGTCTACCACTCTCTTCCTCTTTCCACGAACTCGACTCTGTTTTTATTTTTATTTCTAGAATATGTTGATTGATGGTGCGAGCTTTTATATATATCAATTTATTCAATGATTGGTTTATTTTTTCTTTAAATTGTATTCTCATAAATATATATTTACGTAATGTTATTATGGCTCTTAGGTAACTAACTCACTGTAAACTTATGTAAACTAACTTAACTATACATGAATATTGCGTGTTAGTGACTCCAAGAATGTAAGAACACCAATGCTATGTACTCTCACAACCCCAATGCACATTGTATATAAATATAAAAATGGAAATAAGATTATTGAATTGGCTTTTGAAGGATATTGAAGTGGTTATGTCTGATTATGAGTGGTTTGCCTGAAACGCTGTGCGTATTAGTGGCTTTAGGTATTGTATGTACTAGCTCTATCTATAAATCCAACATTATATTTGTAACTCCTCTTCTATGTATGTACTTTTACCTGAATAAACATTTTGATTTAGATTTTGATTTGATTTTGTTTTTTCAGGATGTGTACGAAGCGACCAGACCCTCACTGTCGTCCCCACAACACCCGACCAAAACAAACTTGTCACTCACGGGGGTGAGAAACCTCTCTCACGCTGCCCTAAAAACACTGCCACGATGATCTTTATACCTCACGACAAGAAACTTGATCGAAGTCTTACTGGCTACACGTTAATTATGGTTAGTTACGTCATTATAAGGTCTTTTCTATGAATCTTGTATCACCCAGTGCTGGTTATCTCTGTTTTGGTTCCTTTGGTTCTACAGGAAGAACAGTGTTATATATAGTAATGTTAATTCATATATATTTCTATAAATTCACAACAATAGTCCCTTGCAGAGTTCATGAAATTTGTAGGAATTCCAATTTAGTATTATATCCACTTACAGTCTAGGATTATTAAATCGCAGGCCAGGGGGGGGGGGTAGATTTTTAATTTGTTTAAATTTTGCCCCGAGGGGCGAGTTTATTGGGCAGCGCCACTCATCTTGTGAGTGGACATACCGCCATAGCAGCATGTACAACACTCCCCAATAGGAAGAAAACCCGCTGGGTTGTTCATCCTGGGTCACTTGTACCCAGACACAGCTTGGACTTCCTTAACTGTCTCAAGTGAACAGCTCCTCAAACTTGGGGGTAGAGTACACCAGACTGTTTGCCAATGGATTTTTAAACTTGTCCAACCCTTTCTAACCGAGCCTAATGCATCCGAACCTTGGCCAATACGTCCTGGGCAGGACAGAAATGGTTTTGCACATTCCTATCACATAATGGCCCGGTTCACCTAGCAGTAAGTAGGTACATGGGAGTTAGTCAGCTTGTTGTGGGGTTGCATCCTGGAAAAGGTCAGGAATTCGACCTTGGGAGGGATAGGGGGACCTCAATATAAGCCTAACATGTATATGTATATATATATGCACTGGTTGTCTCTCCCCTGACACAATGATTTATATATGTTTTGACAATTTGAGAACAAGCTTATATATGTTTTTTTGTACAATATGACCATACTCCCATCAGAAGGCATTTTGTGATAAAAAAAAAAATGTATAATTTATTTAGTATTTAAAATATTTTTTGTGTATGCTGTATATACAAGAGTTCTTACATTCTTGCAAAGCCACTAACATGCACAGCGTTTCGGGCAGGTCCTTAATCTTAATTTTCCATGGAATATAACCCACCAAATCGTTTAACAACCAGGTACCAATTCACTGCTAGGTGAACAGAGGTGTACAGGTAAGGATTTGTGCCTAGTCGATCCTTCCCAGCCAGGATACGAACCCAGGTCAAATTGCTCATGAAGTGTGACGCAAGTGTCTTACCAATGTGCTACGAAGAGTGCATTTTGTTGTACATTCGGTTCGTAACTGACTGGTACTGCTTAACTTATGGTTTAACATAAAATTTCTGACTAGCATTGTAAATTGCCAGTGCTAATAGCCATCAGCACTTATTACATTTTAAGTATTGTATAATAATTTGATTATTATTTGTTTTTGTTTATTATATTGTATATAATTTCAGCCTTCAGTAAGTGTGGGCAATGTAGGGCAGCTGGCAGTGGACATCCTCATCACCAATTTATCCACAGAGAAGGTATGCTCTTGTAAGAACTATTTGTGTTTAAGGACAAGTGAAATTTGATGCTCTTTCAATATTTTGTACTTGGGTTTATTCAATTAAAGGTTCATTAAGTTTTGTTACATATATTTCTTTCAATTATTTTTAAGAGAAGTATATATGCATATGGGGGGGGGGTGTCTATAATAAATATGTATCACAGTGAAATTACAATGGCATGATATGTCAATGAAAATCATTTTGAGGCAATGGAGTGATTTGAACTCGCAACCATGTATATGTATGTATGTATATTGAGGTAAAACATGTTGGAATCTCGATTCAACAAACCTTGATTCGGTGAATCTTCTGTTGGAACACACTTTCTATGCCAGATTTACTCACCTGATTCGACAAACCAGAGTTGGCTGAAGCTGTGGATATGTGGATTTGCTTAGGGTGTTGGGACTGAATCCATAGATGGAGGCAACTTTACAAGAAATAGTTGAGTTGGGGCTTGGGAAAGCCACTGAGCATATTTAAAAGTAAATTCTTTGGTTCTTCCTTTTTTATTTTCCAATTGCAGATGTTTGTGTTCAGTAAAATATGGACCCTCTTTCCTTTGAAAATTTGATTTTGAGGCTTGGGCATGAGGAAAATATGCTAGACGTGGTTAAATATTTTACAGACAGACTCTTTTGGTTATTGCCCTTCAATTGACAGGTTGAAATTACAATTTCTCTCATTGAAATCAGCCTTTAGAGTGTTGGAAATATTAAGGTACGAGTGGTGACGATATTAATATGGCTTCAATCACAGTTTTTGAGGATTTTTGTAGATGGACTCAGCACTACAAGAAACAGCTGGAGCCTTGGGAAAGTTATTGAGGATATTTAAAATCAAATTCTATAGTTTGTTTTTATTCTTGAGTTTGCAAGGTTTTCATTCACTTAGATGGCTCTGCTATCTTTTGAAGACAAGTTTTGAGGCTGGGAATGTAAGAAATATGCTAGATGTGATTAAAAAAAATTTCAGACATGTTCATTTGGTAGTTGTCTATTATATTATAGGATCAAATTTAAATTCTGCTTAGTGAAATCAGCCCATAAGGTGCAGGAAATGCATCCTTGAGGCACCTCCGGTTGCAATGAATCCCTCACTGCAACGAATTGAGGTTGGCCCTATATACTGTACTGTAGTTCATTGAATCAAGGTTGTACTGTATAGTATATATATACAGTACAGTATAGTCATTAATATCAAATATCTTCACAAGACCTTCTCCCACACCTTGAGTTGTAAAAAACTCTGCAGTAAAGTATATCCTAAAAGATTCTCTATATAGTATTTATTCAGCTTTTGATTCAAATAAAACAAGAATGGTTATCAAGGCAAGTTTGAACATAAGAAAAAGAAGGCAGAAGTATCTGTACGTAGTGAAGAAATTGGATATAGTCATGTGCAAAGACCTGTTTACAGCACAAAAATACTCTTAAACACACAAGGAGTGCTACACATCATAAAGATTGTGTAAAGTGCAGGTTTATGTGTAAACCAGTGAAAAATTGTAATGTGATATAATGCTCACATTCCTTGCTATATGCTCTCAAGAAGGAGAGGCTAGGTAGTTACATATTGACAGAATTTTTTTAGTTTATCTGCAGTATCACCATGTTAATTAAGAATATTTTCCAGATTGGTTTAATACACCATCCTGCCATTTATCCACTTGTTGGAGGTGATCCATATGATCCAAACAGCAATGATGTTGTCACAAGTGCAGACCTTCACCTTGTACATGAGCTGCCTCTGGTGATCATGCAAATCAGAGCCCCCTTAATCAAGGTAAATTTTACTGCTAATGAGCTGCTTTGTAAATATGACAGGAGGGATCAGCATCTGAGATGGTCAGCCTGCAACAAGACTACCTTAATTAAATAAGCTTTGTATCTTTGTCTACTATCTTCATAATACAAGGATAACTCAAAAGTTTATGCAACAGAATGTGATTAAAATGCTTTTACATTAGGTCACTGGATCAAGAGTGGGTAAAAGTTCCCCAGATTTTCAATCCTTCATGTTGAGGTATACAGTATTGAGTGGAGTTTGAGCAGCAGTTACTTCGTTTGTTGGCTAAATTTTTGTACTTTTATATAATGTACTACCTCCAAGTTCACAATAATTTATTATTTTTTTATTTAATATCTTGACTAATTCAAATATTTTGGAAAACATAGGTTATTTCTGGGGGGAGCCCCTACGGCTCTCCGGAGCTTACTAGCTTACTAGACTGATATGCTAATGTCAGACTTTGGCATCAGTCATGTGTAAGGAGTTCTTACAGGCCTACCAGAGACCACGAGCCAGAACCTGGCCCCCTCTAGAGAGGCAAGAGGAGCAATGGCCTATAGAAACCTCCGTGTAATTGGAAGCATTCTATGTCTGCCATCGACCGGGTTAGGCACCCAGAAAGGTAGGTGTCCCAAAACAAACCCCTATTCTGGTGAAAATTGCAACCAAAAGCCGAACGAGTGGATAGAACTCCCCAACAAAAAACGAGCAAACTAGTATGACGTCATTCGTCGTCGCGCCGCTGTCTGCGCTGCCCCCCCCCCCCTCCCCGGGATGGGGGAAGGGGCAGCCCCAGACCTACCGCGCCGGCGATCCACACCCCAGTTCTTGAGGCTGATGCTATCGGCTCAGTTGTGTGCTCTGGCTCCAGTCTTTCTGTGGCGCTGTGCCTTGTGTGTGGCTGCTGTTCTCCAGGGGGGCGACAGCCAGGAGTTATTCCTCAGTACTCAGGCTGCATGCGCCTAAGGTTCCCTTCCCTAGGTGCCTTGTAAGTACTGTCCTAGGAGCTTGGGGTTACCTTCCACAAGTTCCTTGGGGTCTGCCTCTGTGTGTCCATTCTGCTCAGTTTCTCGGCCGATCTTTGGGTACTTGGGGGTTTTGTCTTCCCTAGTTAACCTTAGGGTAAGAGGCAGTTTTCGCACTGGTAGGGGGCAGGGTGCTGTGCACCTAGTTGTCACCTATCACTGCGGCCAGCTCTGTTCCTTGGGGTACGTTATCCTCTTGCGGGGTTTTGTTTTTCTTTTTCTTTTTGCCTTGGTGGGGGGTTCTGTCCTAATTGCCACTGGTGTTTGGCCTCACCCTGATACTTGGTGCCCCCTGCTTGGTCCCCGTGAGTGTACACGTTCCTGGGGTTCAGCTTTAGATAGTTTGTTTGGTTGTTTTGGGCGCCGGTTAGCAGTACCCTGCCTGGGTTTACCTGAGCACGAGTTCTCTTCAAGTAAACGCTCAGGACCCTGGGAATCCCCTAGGGGACGCGTGGGTCCGATGGATGTGACCCCGGGGTACCCCCTCGCTTTGTGCGAGTTTGAGGGTTGTTCGGTCCCCTTGTCTCAGGGCGACCCTCTCCGTTTTTGCCTCCGACATGCAGCCTGTTGAGTTGGTGACACTTTCAACCCTGAGTCCTGTGAGTATTGTTGCTTGCTGATGACTCAATTTACCCAGTCTATGGATGATGATCTTTGGGCACAGGCTGCACGGGCGTTGCATTCTAGGTTTCGGTTGTTGCAACGCGCTAGGTTGGTTGTTCATCCGGATGCCTGCAGCTGCCCCGTTTTGCTTATTGGGACCCGGACTTGGGGGTGGGGGTCGCTTCGACCCTGGTTCAGTCCGCACCTCCTGGTCCTTCCACTCCTGTTGTTTGTTCTGGTCCCCCTTCCCTGCTTCCTGCCCCGAAGCGTCTGAGGGTTTCGGAGTCGGGGCAGGGGTTAGTTGGTCTTGAGACTCGGGCAGCCTCGGGGTATGCCCCTTCTGGTGTGGCGACGGAGGCACTCAAGTCTCCTCCCCCGCCCGAAGCCTCTGGGTCTGACCAGTGGGCCTCATTCTATCCAGTTCCTACGGCTGCGCCGGCCTTGTCTAGTGGGGTCGGTGCTTGGGGGGAGGACTCGACCCCGAGTCCTACTGGAGAGGACCCTGGGGCTGGGGAGGGGGCTGACTTGGGGGCCTTGGGCCCCGCTGGACCCCGCCTGGGTTTTTATACCCTCCGAGCGGGGCTTACTGTTGCAAAGAGTGTGGGTTTTCTTTTCCCCCCTCTGCGTACGAGGTGGATTTGGTGTCCCCTCCCCTGGTTTGATTCCGTGTTCCCCCGGGGGCTTCGGTTCCATCTTTCCGGAGGTTTTCGGCTTATCGCATCCAACCTGCTGCGGTGCAGGCGGCCCTTGCGGCAACCTCCTGTGTGACCCGGATTATGCCTCGGTAATGGATCCCTCGGTTTTCAGGTTTGGGACTTCGTTCCCTTTCTGGCTCCAGTACGAAGTTTCCAGAGTCGTCCTGGCTGGCGGACTGTCCTGTCTTTGCCTTGGAGGCTTGGCACTCCTTCTGCCGTTCCCGCACGCTTGAGTGGCGGGAGGCTTCGACGGTGCTTCAGGTTTTCCTGGTGGGCAACCTTGAGCACCTCAATGAGTGCTTGTTTGCTCCTGCCCTTTCCCGGGATGTTGGTGCCGTTCAGCTCCATGTGCAGGTTCCCCTCCTTTCGGAGGCGCTGGTGGCAGAGGACTTGCACGCTCGGGGTCTTTTGGTTGCGGCCTTGCGCTAATTTTCCCTCCTGGAGCTGTCTTCTGACGGGTTCACGGAGGATGTGGGGGTGCTTGGGGTTGTTCCAGGGTCTGGCACCTTGGCCTCGGCAGCTCGCTCGTCAGCTGCCATGCTGAAGTTTTTCGTGCTGATCTTGCGCGATGCGGTGGCTCTGTTTTATGCCTCCCGGCTCGTGTGTCGGCAGACGGTGCTTGCCTCCTCTGTGGAATCCACTTGGGCCTTGGCTCTTAGGTTTTCGTTCCCATTTTGCCCTCTCTTGTTTGAGGCTTCAGCCGTTGCGCAGTTTATTCAGGCCGCAGTTTATTCGGCGTCTTGCCGTCCTATGTCGGACTTGTTGGTTCTCCGGGGGTCCCGTGGTGGGCCTTCCCGGAAGGGTCGTGCCAAGGCTCGAGATTCCTCTCGTCGTGGTAGGCCACTGGTGTCCGGTTCGGGTTTGGCGCCTCCTTCGGACCCGCCTTAGTTTGGTCGGCGCGGTGTTCGTTCTGTGCGAGGTTCTGGGTCTCGTAAGGGGCGCCGGCCCTTTCGCGGTTCGCCCCATTGACGGGGCAATAGGGGCGAGGCTTGCGCCATTCGCTCACGCCTGGTCCCACGATTTGTGGGCATTTCGGGGCGTTTCGCACAGCCTCCGGTGGCGTTGGGTGGCCCCTCCCCCTGTGGGGGGTTCAGGGCTGGCGGGGCAGGCTTCTTTCCCTGCGCTCTGTCAGGTCATCTTGGAGTGGGTTTGCTAGAGCGTGGTCGAAACAACAATGCCCCTCAGATGGGTTTTCCGTCTGTTTCCAGTCCCGTTTGCGCGGACCTGCACTTCATTCTGGACTTGTCTCGTCTGAACCCCTGGATTCATTGCCCCTCCTTTCGGATGACCACGCTGTCCCAGGTTCGGCTCTTGTTGGAGCCGGGTGCTTGGATGGTGTCCCTAAACCTCTGGGACGCTTATTAGCACGTCCCGATTCATCCAGGGTTCAGGGACTGGCTCGGTTTTGTTGTGGGGCTTCATGCTTACCGCTTTTGTTGTCTTCCGTTTGGTTTGAACCTGGCACCTCGCGTTTTCACGCACCTCACGCGGGTCATGGTGACTCGTCTGCGTCTGTTAGGTGTTCGGGTGTTGGCCTACCTCGATGACTGGCTGGTTTGGGCTCCCAGCCGGTCCGCTTGTCTGCTAGTCGGGGATCTAGTTCTTTCTCAGCTCGCCGAGTTCGGGTCCTTGGTGAACTGAAAGAAGTCCCATCTGGTTACCTCCCAGGTTCGGACCTGGCTGGGCCTTGTGTGTGACTCTCAGAGTGCTTCCTTGTCTCTTCCTCCGGAGTCTCTTCTGCGGCTGCGGTCCCGCTTGTGCCTGTTTCTGGGGGGGCTCCTGGGTCACCCGGCGGTTGCTCGAGGGTCTGGGAGAGAGCCTGAACTTCGCGATGCTGGTCTACCCTCCGGGTCGGGTTTGGCTTCGTCGGCTGTTCTGGTTCTTTCGGGGACGTCCCTTCTGCCTCTCTCGCAATCGCTGGGTCTGGGTCTCGCAATCGCTGGGGCGCAAAGCCCCGGGGGCTTTGTGTCGGTTGCTGCGTCACCGGCTTCCTCTTCGGGTTTTTCGGGGTTCAGTGCCGTGGAGCCTACCCAAGCCCTCGCTCGATGTGTTCTCGGACGCATTGTCTCTCGGTTTGAACTTTGTGACCAGTGCTCACCAGGCCGGCTAGGGTCTGTGGGGTCTGTCCTTCCGTCGAGCCCATAGCATTGTGCAGGAGTTCGCGGCAGTGTGGTTTGCTCTTCGGAGGATTCGAGTCGCCCGCGGATCGACGATCCAGCTCCATTCGGACTGCTCCCCGGTGGTTCATTGTCTCAACCAGGGGGGTTCGATGCGGTCCTTGGCTCTTTGGCGCTGGTCGCTTCGGGTGACTCGTCTACTGAGTTCTCAGGGTTTGGCTCTCCTGGCAGTTCATGTGCAGGGTGTGTCTAACGTCTTGGCCAACGGCCTGTCTCATTTCGTTCCCCTTCTCCACAGAATGGACTGTCGACACCGACTCCTTCCGTTGGCTTTGCCAGACGTTCGGAAGCCCCGAGGTGGACCTCTTCGTGTCGGCGTTGTCACGGCGCTTTTCCCTGTATGTGGCGCCCTTTCCTGACTGCAAGGCCGATGGGGTCGATGCCTTTCGGCAGGACTGGTCGAGGTGGGGGTTTCCTGTACCTCCTTTCCCCCGGTTAAGCTGTTGCTCCAGGTCCTGACTCGCTTTGAGACTTACCAAAGACTTTGTTTGAGACTTTGTTGTCCTCTTGGCCCCTTGGTGGCCGGCCCAGCCGTGGTTTCAGGCGCTGCTTGCTCGGTGTCCGAACCTGGAGGTTTTTCGGCCTGGTATGTCACGTGGCTGGTTCGATCTTCTCGAGTCTTTATGTATGGTTTTTTTTACACGAGTTTATCATCACCTCTGTGGTAATCAGGTGGCTTCCCTATTAGTATCCCACCTGCGGGTTTCGTCTCGGTGGCAGTATGAAGTTTCCTGGCGGTCCTTCCAGTTATTCTTATGTCTTCGTCATTGTACTTCGCTTTCTGTTAGGGTATTGTCCTTTCTCTCTTGGTTGTTACAGGACCGTCTTCTTATGCCTAACACTGTTGCCTTGTATCTTGCGCCGCTGGCGGAGCCGCTTCAGCTTGCTTTTGGTATTGATGTCACGTCTGCATCGTTTTGCAAGCTGTCTCAGGCGTTGTTTCACCTCCAGCCTGCTCATGCGCCGCCTGAGCCGTCCTAGTCTTTGGACAGAGTGCTCTCTTTTCTTTCTTCTCCTCGTTTTGTTGTGGCCCCTTCGGTTCCGAATTGTTTTTCGAAGGCTCTTTTTCCTGTTGGCATTGGCCTCTGGGGGTCGGGTGGGTGAGCTTCATGCTCTCCTCCGGCGCTGAGGTTTCTGCTCCTTCGGTCGGGGTGACCGTTTTGTTCGTCTGCAGCCTTCTTCTTTTCTGGCGAAGAATGAGACTGCTGCGTTCCGGAGGGGCCCTTGGGTTGTTGATGCTTGGTTGGTTCGGCCGGGGGTGCATCATGTTTTGTGTCCAGTTGCGGCTCTCCGCCGTTATTTGTGCGCCACGGCTTCTGTGACCGTGGATGCGCTTTGGGTTGATCCGGTTTCCCTTCTTCCCTGTTCGAGGGTGTGGGTCTCCCAGGTCGTCCGCAGGGTTATTAAGGCTAGCCAGCCTGCGGTCTATCCTCGTGCCCATGACGTCTGCAAGTTCGCGGCTCTTACCGCCATCTTTGGCAATATGTCCTGGGCTGACATTCGGGTGCAGGGATTTTGGCAGTCGAACAGGGTCCAGGCTGCTCATTATCTTGTAAACGTTCCTGGGCCCAGTCGGGCCTGTGTCGCTTTGGGTCGGCGGATGCAGCCAGTTGTCTCGACTTCGGGTTGAGGAGTGAGCAGCAACCGCCTCCCGGGTAAGTCCCTATTCTTTCCTCTGTGGGTAGTTAGCTCCTGGGAGCCATAGAGGCTCCCCCCAGAAAACCAGTGTTGAATGTAATGAAATGCCATTTTCTGGGTGAGTCCCGGAGACTCCCCGGCATCCCTCCCTCCCTCCGGTCGGCAGTTTTTTCGCGTGTTTTTGACATCCAGCCTCGGAACTGGGGTGTGGATCGCTGGCGTGGTAGGTCTGGGGCTGCCCCTTCCGGGGAGGGGAGGGGCTGCGCAGACAGCGGCGCGACGACGAATGACGTCATACTAGTTTGCTTGTTTTTTGTTGGGGAGTTCTATCCACTCGTTTGGCTTTTGGTTGCAATTTTCACCAGAAAATTTTGTTTGTTTTGGGACGCCTACCTTTCTGGGTGCCTAACCCGGTCGATGGCAGACATAGAATGCTTCCAATTACACGGAGGTTTCTATAGGCCATTGCTCCCCTTGCCTCTAGAGTGGGGCCAGGTTCTGGCTCGTGGTCCCCGGTAGGCCCATAAGAACTCCATACACATGACTGATGCCAAAGTCTGACATTAGCATATCAGCCTAGTAAGCTAGTAAGCTCTGGGGAGCCTCCGGGACTCGCCCAGAAAATGGGGTTTCATTACATTCAACGCTGGTTTTTTATCCACTACTTCCTTTCATTGTCATTTCTGTTCAACAATCTATTGCTTGTATGGTTGTGTAATGTTTTCCCAATAAAGCTGATTAATTTGATAACAAACTTATCATTTTCAGGGTGAGCGACCGAAATTTTTATCTGAGCTGTCAGCCTGGTGTAAATCGGCAGGGATCCAGGATATAGTGTTGCTGGCATCGTGCAATGCTTATGAGCGGTGGGAAAACAATCAACTCACAGGATCGCAGCTTCGATACCTCACCTCTAAAGTACCACAGAATGATGTGGAACTGCTCAAGTTAGTACTAAAAGCTTGGATTCTTTGGACACTGTACAGTACTTTACAGTATATTAAATTGAATTATAAAAGTTATAGTAAAGGTCATGTAGCACAGTGGTTAGTGATGTCAGGTTGCAACTGAGAGATTCCAGGTTTGATTTCCACAGCAGGACAGAAATGATAGAGCACATTCCCTTTCACCCGACTCCTTTGTTTATTTGGCAGTAAATAGGTACAGTACCTGAAAGTTGGGAAACCGTTGTAAGTTGTATCCTGGGAAATGTCGGTAGTTGGCCTAGTGACCTCAATAAGCCCAAGAGGTTTCGTGTCTCTTTAGGAGAGAGAATGTTCATCAGCAAAAAATGCTCAACCAATTTGACTAAATAGTACATAGAGATATGAGGGTGTGGTTAAGAAACTGCCCAACTACTTGGACTATCAGGGATGGAACATACCCACAGAGAAAAATCATCTATACAGTATTTTAAAGATGTGCTCACTTGGGCACATTTTGGAAAAATAAGAATTAAAAAAATTAAAAAACAAATAGTAATTCCATTGCCAGGCTTCAAACCTGTACTATTATTCCTACCTCCTTACTGATATAGTTCAGTAACATCATCATCAATGCTAAATAAAAATTACAAGTGCAGTTCAAATCTTCTATTTCTGTCATTTTTATTTATGTGTAAAATGATTGTCTTGCAGATCAGTTGGTGCGTCAGAGTTGGAGGAACGGGTAGATGAGTTTGGGAACAAGCACCGTTTCTTGTCTGGAGCAGGATTTGTCAAGCAATTTATGGAGACTTGGTGAGTCATGACTTGTTCAGAATTTGCAGTTTTTATTTCTTACAGGTAATTTGTTCAAATTTATTGTACGCTAGTTTTACTTTTGGGTTTCACAATCTAAGCTCTGTATCCTCATGAATCAAAATATCATTGCACGTTTGTAATTGTAGGCCAATTTTGGTAAATTTGCATTAATTTATATTTTCATTTTTGGTCATGTATTGTTATAAAATGAGGATTTCAACTTCTTCAATTGTGTAATCTCATTCTACATTCATTACCAGTATGACTCGAGGACAATATTTTCGACTAGATTGGGTACCCGCCAGTGCCTAGCTTGCTGTCACATACACCCAGATTTTCTTCATACACACCTTCTGCCTCTCCCCATGCCAACCCTCCCAATCTCTCCCAAAATACACCCTTCCTATCTCTCCACACAATCACACTCTCGCACACACTTCAGCTGGACAGTAGAATGATGATCTCGCTTCATGCAGGTTGGCGTTCAATCTCTGACTGTCCAAGTGGTTGGGCACCATTCCTTTCCCTCCGTCCCAACCCAAATCCTTATCCTGACCCCCTTCCAAGTGCTATATAGTCGTAATGGCTTGGCACTTTCTCCTTATAGTTCCCTACATCTCACACTCGCTCGCTCTCCCTCTTTCCCTGTTGTTCCCCATCACTGTAACTATACTTTTCCTATATACATTTTACATGTCAGTATCTGAATACGCAAATGTTTAATCCCCCGCAGTGTGCCTCAGTATTATAGATAATATCCACCCCCCCCTCCCAGTGTGCAAGGAAAGAAATTAAAAAAAAAAAAAATTCTAATGTTGTTAAATGTATTCCCTGCTCACTGGGTGGAGGAGGGTAATTATATGACTGACTTTGGCCATTGTGAAGTCTGGAAATCTCGCGACCACGTGATGATTCACGTAATTTCATTGAGCATTTGCCCCTGAGTGGCTGCCTCAGACCGGCTGTGGGGAAAGAGTTGCCATGAAGATATTTTGACATACTGTATTTGTTTCAATTTTCTAATTTAATTTTTCTTTTATTTTTTTATTTTTGTCTGTAATAATATTCTATAGTGTGTCTTTTTGTGAAATTTATAGATTAAAATGTATGAAACATTGGAATGCTTAAATCTCTTAAAGTGTCAATAAGATGCACACTATATTATTTGCTTAGAACACTAAAACATAGCTATTTAATTTAATACAATTGTGCACACTATATATATAACTATATACATTTTCATGCATGATTAACCTCTTGGCAGTTCTGGTGGGTGCAGTAATCTCGTAACATGTTATCAGAATTCAGCTTAACTCTGCATATTTGTGCAAAAATGTAACTGCATGCATTGAGTGTGTAATATTTTCTGATATGGGTAGAGAGCTGATATTTGAAGGTAGGTAGGTAGAGGAGAGATGGGTGGAGATGGGTAAGAGATTGGCCGGGGAGAAAGATGGACAGGGGAAATCTTGGAAGAGATGGGGAACAGTAGATGAGAGAAGGGATGTTTGGGGAGAAAGGTGGAGAGGTGGGGGATAGGGAAAGAGATATGGGGATGGGGGGGAAGAGAGACCTGGGTGCAGCTAGGTACTTCCTCTAGTAAAGCATGAATGTATAGAATCCATTTTCATTGGTTTACACTTGCCCATTACCTCACAAGCAATTTGGTCTGCATTACAGTCCTAGCCAGGGAAGATTGACTGGGTGCCAAACCTTGACTATTCACTAGTGCTCACCCCAGCAATGATAACAACCAGGTAACAACCTGGTCTGTTCAACTGATTGGTGGGTCGTGTTCCAGGGAAAAATTAGTGTGGTAAGGCTTACCACTAGCTATGGTAAGGGGAACCTTTCAGCTTGTTAATAGGAATCGGGAGTTGTCTACTCCTGTACCCACTTGCATAAAACTAATAAATAATAAATGATTATTGATGTATCTAATTGTCAACAGTGACCTCCCACTGGCAGCATTGTTCAAGTTTGTCGATGAAGGTGATAATACACATGATGCTTTTGTGCTTGTCAACTTCCTCAATGCCTGGAAAAAACTTTTGCAGGTAAGGCCCCTTGATTCATTATTATTTTTTATTTGTGGTGAGTTTTTTATGCTGTATAATGTATGTCTTTCCCAAAAAATCAGAATATGAACAAATCCACAAGGGCCGTGACGAGGATTCGAACCTGGGTCCGAGAGCATCCCAGATGTTGCCTTAATCAAAAATATATTCTCATTCTATTTCATACATTTTGTTCCTCATTCTGGTCTTTGTTCCCTGCCCAATCTATTTCTAGTTAAAAAAAAAGGGGGAGGGGGGGTTCCGTTGTCCCTGCAGGCTGATCATATGGTCTTGTAGTTTTCTTAAACTTTTTGAAGTTGTTGAAGTACTATATATGAATTGAGAGACAACTTCTTTAAAAGCTCCACTGTAATGCATACAAGAGGCAACAGCTTCAAGGTCAACAAGCCAAAAGGTAGGACAGAAAGCGGGTGCTTCCCCTTCCCCCATATAGGTTTGTTAACCCTGTGGAATTGCCTATCAGCTGAACCCATAAATGGCAAGACGTTACTACAGTTTAAAAGCTGGAAAAAATACTTGGGAACAATAGTAGGACATTAGACAAGCTGCTGACTTCCTGTCCCCATCAAAACCACTGATGATGGTGACCTTGAGGTAAATTCAGATAATTCTAGATATGCAACAGCTTGATTGGTTCTTTGCTTTTGTCACTGTTTTCAAATTGCTGCTCTGCTGCCCTTTTGATTCTGGTACACGGTACTTTTTTGTAACATCTTAATTGGTTCCTTAGTTGCTTCTGTACCAGTATCCCTATACTTTTTCCATACCTTTTTTTTATCTTCTCCTTTTCTTCCTTACACTGCACAACCATAAGTTTCTTGTTCTTGTTTTGTCCACTTTCATCCTGAGAGGTATGAACTGTTTGTTTCTCGCATCCACCAGACAAGAGTTAAGTGAATGCAGGTCACAAGCTAATGTGCATATTTTATAAATGTACAACTCCCATGGAGGAAATGAGAGGCACCAACAATGTTTACAGGAACATAAGAGTCCAAGCAGACTGGTCACTCTCCATCATCTTCTCGGCCACTTTCCTATATATGTACAGTATTGTATTATGTTGCATGAGATACCGAAGGAGATGCTTGTCTCGGTTTTTATAGTTGTTCTTGCAAACTTACTCTGACCACTTCTAGTGATTCTGCCTTTTTTTAATACATATAAACCAACTCTAAGCACTCCTGTGGTAATGCATGGTATTGGGGGTATTGGGTAGCACAGTTTGCAACCAAATGTCCCAAAGTTTGATTCCGAGCAGTAAAGAATTACTACATGTTAAGTTACTTAGGTAATAAAAAATGAAACAAACCACCTACTTCTAAGCAATCTGTATGGTACTGACATACAGTACAAGTTTTGTCGCATTCAGTTGTTGCATCGTTTACCAGGCAGCCAGACATTGCATGGCTCTTTTACCATTATTTTAGGTAGGCTTATAATTGTACTAATTTTTGGTTTGCTTGAAAAGTCAGCAGTTGGCCTAGGGAATCACAATAAGTCTAAGCACAAACTTCCTGTCTACAACATTATGGAGAAGAATCCATTTACTGTATGGTAAGGAACTTAATTCAGTTCCTTACCATCGAGTAATATGAATCAAGTTACCTTTAACTCTTTAACTCGATTCAGAAGTGATAAAATATAAAAAAAATATTTAACTGAATTACTACACTATTGACGCAGCCTTCGGAATCATTTTATATGTGAAATTTGTTAAAGTACCTCACACTAGGCACTTGTTTGTAATATGAAGCAAATTTGGAGCTTTTACTAATACTGTGTACCAAAACATACTCTCTCCGAGAGACTATTGAAGCCATAAGACGGGCTTGAAGCTGTATTCCTGAACTCGACAGGCATACATACCACTGAATGGACCACGATGGACTAAACGTATATTTTCAGGGATGTGGGTTCAAGCCCATTGTATGGCTTCAATATTTCTCAGATTTCATTGTACATACTTTATCTTATCTGAGTATGACAGTGTAATCACCCACAGCATGCTCTTATGGTGTGACTATGATCACAAATTTTTTCATTTTCTTTCAGACTGCTGATCCTTCATGGAAAGCACCGTTTTCATGGAGAAACATGTTTGGAGGAGCAGCACCTAACAGCATATATTAAAAGTTGGCAATTTTCTAACTTGATGGTACTTTATATATGATGATCTAAATATACCAATGAGAGATCATGTAGGATGTATTCTAATAAGTGCCTCTTTCATCATTTTGTTTGTTAAAGATGATAATAAATATTAAAGTACAGTAAGTGTTTTTATGTTGTAGCATACTGCTGTGTGTTTGTTTTGTCTTAGACATCCCTTGTCCACCATAATAGAGTTTTCTTGGGCAACAGTGACTTCCTGTAAGGCATGGGCCCATGCCTCTAGAATAATCTTCAGAATATCATCACACACTATGGCATGTTCACTGGAGGAGCAGTTGTTGATGACAACCTGAAAGGTTTGACTACTTATGCAGAGAATCACAATAACTTGAATAAAACAAATAACCCAGCCAACACATGAAATGGAATGAAAGTAAATATGATTCAATCCTTTCTGCTGGACCGTTATCAAGGTGTGACTGGTTGGATCTGATAGTCCATGATGGACTAAAATGTCTTCACTTTCATTTCACATGCATTGGTTAGGTTATTTGATTACTTGTTATTTTCAAGGGCAGAAAATCTCCAATGCCAAGTAGCTTTAGTTTCTGCTCCAGCAATATCCAAAGCTATGTTGCCTGTATCTCAACATTTCTTCCATTTTACAGTTACTGTATTTGTAGTAGCAAATGTGATGTGCTTGTATGTGGAAAACTGAGATTAGTTAAAAATTATTGTTTGACTTCCAAATAAGTGGCTATGTATTAAAACAAGGTGCCAAGCTGGGAAAACTATGTAACCAAATTGGCTGATAAATTCTGGGTTGGAGAAAGGCTGCTAGTGAATGTAGGAGTAGCAGTTTGGTGCTAGGGCCTAGCAAATGTGTGTATGAAAGAATTTGTAGTATTTTGTTGAAGTTGCAGGTAGATCAGCAAGAGTTCGTAGGCAGTGTTTTCCCATGTGGGGCGCCCACCCCACAGTGCAGCTATTATAAGATTATGGGGTGTATGTATGGCCGTTTTCCCCAATATTCACTAATTTATTTATTTATATACAAGAAGGTACATTGGGTTTGTGAGAATACATTGGATAGTACAGTATTTACATTCTTGTAAAGCCACTAGTACGCGCAGCATTTCGGACAGGTCCGTAATTTAATTCTAGCAGATAATTTTAAGTAGGTAATTTCTATCAGAATTAATAAATGATAAAGATACATTGCAAGAGAAAAATGAGATGAGAGAGCTTAGTAAGTATATTAAAGCACATTGTTATATTAAAGCTCTGATTGATTACATTGACAGCTTGATTAGTAATTTAAACAAGATTAATAGACACCATACAGCAGATTGACAGCACATATAAGACAGCAATGATCACAATGGTAAAGATGTTCAGATTGGGTACATAAAGATTGGAAGACTGGGTAGCAAAAGATACAGATAAACAAGATTTATAAACACCATACAGCAGATTGACAGCACATATAAGACAGCAATGATCACAATGGTAAAGATGTTCAAATTGGGAACATAAAGGTTGGGAGATTGGGTAGCAATAGATACAGTGTAGTTTTAAGGCAAAAAGTGAAAAACTATGAAGATGAAATTAGGTACTTTTTAGTATTGATTTTGAATGATGTAAAAGTTGGACAGCTTTTCAATTCAGTAGGGAGTGAGTTCCATAAACTGGGTCCCTTTATTTGCATAGTGTTTACACAGATTAAGTTTAACTCTGGGGATATCAAAGAGATATTTATTTCTGGTGTGGTGATAATGGGGTCCTATTACATCTGTCCAGGAAGAGTTTCAGACAAGGATTTGCATTTAAGAACAGGGTTTTGTAAATGTAGTTGACACAAGAGAATTTATGGAGTGAGATTATGTTTAGCATGTTTAGGGAGTTAAACAAGGGGGCTGTGTGTTGTCTGAAAGCAGAATTTGATATTACAGTATTCTGATAGCAGATTTTTGCTGGGTGATGATGGACTTGAGGTGGTTTGCAGTGGTTGAACCCCATGCACAGATACCATAGTTGAGATAGGGATAGATTAGTGCATAATATAGAGATGAGAGCAGAGTTAGGTACATAATATCTGATTTTGGAGAGTATACCAACTGTTTTAGAGACTTTCTTAGTTATGTGTTGTATGTGGGTACTGAAGTTGTCTCTTGTCTAGGAATATGCCAAGAAACTTTCCATCATTTTTATTGCTAATGTTTACATTGTCTATCTGAAGCTGAATTGCATTTGTAGATTTGCTTCCAAATAGGATGTAGTAGGTCTTTTCTATGTTAATTAAGTGTTAGTTTGTTGGTTGACATCCATAAGTGGACTTTTTTTAGTTCATTATTAACAACATCATTTAGTGTATGTGGGTTGGGGTTGGATCAAACAACTTACATACTTTTAAATTACGAAAACAAGGTTTGATAAATATTGTCGCAACATAATGTAAAAAAAAAGTCATTTGGCCTAAAAATGACAGCCAGTTCTTAAGATGGGGGACCCAAGTAGGTCATAGAATAAAATGCCAAATTAAGAGCATAAAAAATAATCTCAATTAGCTTAAAAGGAGCTTTTGCGAACAACTAGCGCTAGTTGGCATTTTGTCTCATCTTTGGGATAAAGAACTGTGTCCTTTGTGTCTTTGTACTGATTTTCAGCTGTTCTCACTTTAAAGAAGAAATTAATTTGCAGTAGTAATATACCTGCCTACATAAGTAAGCTATTTTGAATTCAGTTATCAAATGAATCGACATCGAAATTAATGCCAAAAATTAGCGTCTTTTCAAATAATATTGTGAAGATAAAAATGTTGACCATTTAAGACAGAGGTAAGACATTGAGTGATAAAAAGAACATCACTTGTTTAATAAGATTCATGGAACTATTTAATATTCTTAGTGAGTTTTTAAAATGAAACTCCTAAAAACAGTTGTTGGTAAAACATTTGAGAGTTACAGTATTCAGTTTTCAAAGATATATTAAATATGATAGATAAACATCTGCAAGGAGCAAATAAAACCCTTGTTGATGCTAGTTTAGTTCATTTATTATGCACCCCATACCCATTTTGTGGGCGGTAGTGGAAAGGGTTACAGAGGCACATAATGGGCTCAGGGACTGAACCCCACAATTCATTGAGCTAAGCAAGTTACAATCTTGATGAGCTAGTTACAAAATTCAATATAAGTCGTCACATCAACAATTGGTTCGAGATCGACCTCAAGTACAGGTTCTAAATTAAGCAACTGACATATGTGGAGAGCTAGTGTCAAAATTTATATGTTTGTCCTGCACACCGCCCCCCATCCAGTGGGCAGCGGTGGATAGGTTACAATCACTTAGTTACTACCTACAGTTAGCAAACTGGGGATATTTGGCTAAAATTTCTGGTAGCAGATCATTTTGAATGAAATATTGACACATCGCTGGAACATTGGTTATAGAATTGTCTCTAAATTCACGTATCTTTTCGCACTCCATCACATAGTGACGGAGGGTTGGTGCAAAGGTTAAGATATTTGGCTTCATTGGATTTCAGCAATTATGTCCAAAGAAAGAAAGATTTAACAAATTTGACCAGTTTTAGTGTAAGAAGTAGTGTAAAGAGGTTTCTTAAGGACCTTGGTTCCAGGCTTATCGAAACAGCAAGATATCCTAGAGCGGCAAGCTTTCTTTTCCAGTGCCTCAGTGTGGCAGTCCAGAAGGGGAATGCATGCTGCATCCTCAGTTCCTGCCCTGCGTTTGAGGAGTTTGAAGAAATCTACAGCCTCTAGAAAACAAACTTCCCCTTATTCCCTTTTAATGTCCATATTTTGTAATAAATCGGCTATGTAACTGTGTAACCTTGTGCACACAGTTTGTATATGTTGCAACCTTTGGTCGCGGGACCAAAGAGCCAAAGCTCATCCCCCGCAAGCACAACTAGGTGAGTACAGTTGTGTACAACACAACTTATAATAATAATAATAATAATTATATAATTTATTGTGTCAGGGGAGGGGGGGAAGGCAGTCAGTTTATACATAAACATTCGACTTACATTGACCTACTCACCATATGTAGCCTACTTTCACGGCATTCCTCCTCTCATTATACTATGTGCTAATCTATCCCTATCTTACATACGGTATCTGTGCAAGGGGTTCAAACACTGCAAATTACCTCAAGCCTATCATCACTCAGCAATAATCTGCTATCAGACAATCTGTCTGCCTTCCGATATACAGATTGTCATAATGATTAAGACATTAGTCGTAAAAGTTCTAAAGTCGTAAAAGTTCTGGATCTATGGTTTGAATTTGAACAATGCATGATAGTTCAATTCAAATTAAATATTGCTGATATTGTTTATAAATATTGAATATTGCAATGTTCTCAGCGGCATCTACATTTAGAAATCGGTTGTATTAATACGTGAAGTTTTCAGCGCCATTTATGTTTAGGTTTTAATCTTATTTATGACTAGTGTTTTCAGCCTCTTGTTACTATAGTAACAGACTCGAGAGAAAAAGCTGCATAAGACATGATGGATTACATCACCCTGAAGTGTCAAGAAGCAGTAGACAAGTTTGTCTCGGTCTTAAAGGAGGAACCATGGTTCAATCAGAGATATGTAAGGTGGCAAAACAATTAAGTACAAGATCGCGGAGAAACTAAGGCACTACAGGCTCGCCATAGCCCTTTCTACTTGGAACTCTGTTCTAGGTAGCGAATCTTTAACAACAACAACAGCGGAGAAACAACAGGAATTACTACAGAAGACCAGAGTGCAGAGGAAGAAACCAATGAATATTTCAGTATGAAAGAAAGAAGCGGAGACAGTGTAATAATCATTAATTTCCTTTGGAGACAGGCAGCCTGTGAATATATATACATATTAGACTTATTTCCAGATCCTCCCCCCCCCCCTCAAGGTCAAACTTGTAACCCCCACTATAAAACGCAACCCCATATCAAGCTGACTAACTCCTGGATACTTATTTACTCTTTGGTGAATGGATATATTAGGTGATAGGAAACGTGCCGCAGCCGTAAATGCCAAAACTCTATTAAATATTAAAATCCAGCTGGAAAAACTCACGACATTAAACTCATCTCATTGCTGGCGCCCTGTCCTCGTCGAGACTATTAGAATATTAGTGGCCCTCAGGTTCAGGAGCTACACTAGTTAATTGACAAGTGAAAGGCGGGACCAAAAACCCGAAGCTCAATCCCGCAAGCACAACTAGGCAAATCCATTGGAGCCACCAATTGTCCTTACGCCATCTATGTTTTGACAGCAGTACTACAAATTTACCCACGTCATTCGATGCTCACTATAAGGGTGTTATGAGAGAGAGAGAGAAGATTAAGCCACCCAAAAGGTGGCATGAGCATGAATAGCCCATAAGTGGTGGCCCTTTTGAGCCATTTCCAGTATCAATAGATGATACTGGAGATCTGTGGAGGTGCGACTGCACCCTGAGTGACGGGAGATGTCTCCCATGGGTGTTATGGTCTGTTGCTATTCTTGATATGTTTCTAGACAACATAGGTGATTTCAAGGAGGTTGTTGCTGGAACGAATTAGTAGCTCTAAACGCAGTGTTGGAGGAGGACGTGTTGCTATGTGGTCAACCAGTGGGGGTAAGACGCCGTTGATTTTGTATTTAGATGATTGTTTGAGTCATTTGTGCTAATGCATAATTTTGGGTTAATTGCTTTTATTTTTTTAATTATTAGATGGTATCTAATATTGTTTTAGGAATTGTGTGGTGGTAAAGATTTTTTTTTTTTTTTTTTTTGGTAAGATATATACAAGAGTTGTTACATTCTTGTACAGCCACTAGTACGCGTAGCGTTTCGGGCAAGTCTTTAATCCTACGGTCTCTGGAATACAATCCCCTGCCGCGAAGAATCTTTTTTTTCATCCAAGTACACATTTTACTGTTGCGTTAAACAGAGGCTACAGTTAAGGAATTGCGCCCAGTAAATCCTCCCCGGCCAGGATACGAACCCATGACATAGCGCTCGCGGAACGCCAGGCGAGTGTCTTACCGCTACACCACGGAGACTGTAATTGCTTACATAGGCCATGTAGGGAAGTTTGAAACAGAATTGACGTTAAACAAAACGTTTAAACGTTTAAACGTTTAAACGTCAAAACGTTTTTGTTCAAAAGTTTTGAACAAAACTGACGTTATTGCTGCCTACAGAGTAGGCAAAAAGAATCCATCAGGTCTAAATCAACGGAAAATTCGCCTGAAGCTGTCTTCCCAGTTCACGAAATCCAATCTAGTCCGGACAGCTGCATCCCTACGGAAGGGATTATACATCAACGAGTGCTTGACCAGGAACAGACAGCAAATCCTCTACCGCCTGCGTCAAATCCGGCAGCAAAACCCAGATGCTATTCATCAGTGCTTCGTTAGAGATGGTCTGATAAAGGTGAGAAAAACCGCAGAGGGCAAAATGTTTACTATTACTAGAGAAGAAAACCTCAACACTTTCCTCTCCCAATGTGGTTTGTCTCACCTTATCACTCCCAATGAATTAACTTAATTAACCCCCTGTCAACTAGTGGGGCTAGGTATCCTAAGTCTCCTTGGTTCATTTTCTGACTTAATTTTTAACTTACTCTTGCCTAGTCATTTACCGAAATTATTTAATTGAGTTATTAAGTAGTTCTTCAGGTCTTTTTAATTATACAGTCATTACTGAACTATCTATAGTTATTAATCATTAGCTTAATTTGCCTGTTTATTATTCAACATTTCTTTGATTTCATTTATTACCTAGGTTGCCTAGCCTTGCCATGCTCCCTTACTCCATTGTACCCCTGGCTTTGCCTGCATCTCAAATTGCAAATTGTTACTTACAGTGTACCTGTGAGTACTCGTAAGCAATCTACCTCATTTTTGCTCAATTTGTTTTTTTTTTTTTTTTTTTTTGTATTGCTTAGTCTTGCTTATATTTTTTGTTTTGTATTTCCATATCTTGTGTTTTGTATAGTCCATGTTTACATGTTTTTTCTTTAATCTCATTAATTGCCTAGGTTGCCTAGCCTAGCCATACTCCCTTACTCCATTGTACCCCTGTAAGCCCCTTTTGTGTTTGTTTTGTACAGTATTGTGTATATATTTTTCCCTATTTTATAGCTTTTTTCTACTTATTTCTGATTCTTCAATCAGCTTTTTTTATGCAGTCAAGTATAGACCCTGAACTTAACCTCTTATCCACTATCTATGACAATAATCACTTTAATGATCTAAATTGCAGATATTTTGCAGCACATGATGTAAACAATGTATTAACTCATAATCACAATATCTCTGTAATCAATTTGAACGTTAGATCCCTAGGTAAACACTTTGATGATGTTAGTGCCTTGATTGAAACTATTGGCAACAAATTCTCTTTTATTATACTTACTGAAACATGGTTGAAAGAGGATACTACTCAACTCTTTAACATGCCTAACTACTCAGCAATTCACAACTGTCGTCAACTTCAGAGAGGTGGTGGCACTGCTCTTTACTACCACCAAGAACTAACATGCTTAAAAGAAATTAGAACTAGAGACTGCTATGGGGAGTATATCTTCGCCAGCTTCAGAGTCAAGGGTGCCGAGTCTGTCCTGTCTGTGGGTGCAGTCTATAGAATTCCCAACACTGATGTGTCTGTATTCAACTCAAACCTTAGAAATCTAATACTTGATAACAGACTGAACAAAAACCACCTAATTATCGCAGGGGACTTTAATATTGACCTCTGCGAGCCAGAACACCCTACTGCTGTTAGCTTCCTCAACTGTATGAATTCCTGCCTCCTCATACCCTTAATCACTAGACCTACTAGAATCACTGATAGCACTGCCACGACTCTAGATCACATCTGGACCAACATAACCTCTCCGCTTACTTCAGGTATAATCACCGATAGCACTACAGACCACTACCCCACATTTCTCTTAACTAACATTAGCAAACCACCTCTAGAAACAAGGGAATTAAGCTTTAGGCTGCACAATGAAACTGCTATAAACAATTTTATAACTGCTGCTGATAATGTCAACTGGGAGTCCGAGTTAGGTAACATAGGGGACATCAACCTAGCAGTGCAATCTTTTCTACAAACAACTCTTAGCCTTTATAACACCCACTGTCCTAGGCTTACAAAACAAGTCACAAGCAAAAGGCTTAACAATCCTTGGCTTACAAAGGGAATACTGAAATCCATTAACAAAAAACACGACCTTGAGAAGAAGTATAGGTTAGGAATTGTCTCCAAAGAATTCTCAAAGAATTACTCATTATTGCTATCTAAGATAATTAGACGAGCCAAAACTAATTACTACGAAGATAAATTTACTCAAATAAAGAGCAACATTAAACAAACTTGGAGCACAATTTCACAAATATTGGGATCAAAGAAATCTTTAAATAACAAACCGACTCTCCTGTCTAATAACGATGGTCAGCTTTCAGCCTCTGATTCTGCTATTGAGTTTAATAGGTTCTTCTCTTCCATTGGTTCATCCCTTGCAAATGATATTCCTTCTTCCAGTACTGACATTAAGGACTATCTTACAGGTAACTATCCACAGTCTCTGTACCTAAAGCCTATTAACTCCACTGACGTCAATGAGATAATCCTTTCCCTTAAAACCAAGTCTGGTGCCCTTGAGGAGATACCAACTTTAATTTACAAAAAAGCCTCCAGATCTTTAGCCCCTGCTATTGCTTTGCTCTTCAACAAGTCACTTGAACTCCAAACCTTTCCAGATATTCTAAAAAAAGCGAGAGTAACGCCTGTCCACAAATGTGGTGACCCCACAGATGTTAACAACTACAGACCTATATCAATCCTGCCAAACTTGTCAAAAATCTTTGAAAAACTTATATACAAGCAGCTTTACTCATATCTAGCCAAACTCAATATACTTAGCCCTTGCCAATATGGCTTCAGACCCAAAAAAAGCACTAACGATGCACTTATTAGTATGCTTAACTTGATTCATACAGCTCTTGATAAAAAGGAGTTCCCTGTTGGGTTATTTGTGGACCTGCGTAAAGCTTTTGATACTGTCAACCACCATAACCTTCTTCTTAAATTACATCATTATGGAGTCAGAGGACACTCCCTACAATACCTCGAGTCCTACCTTACTGACAGGCTCCAATATGTTTCTGTGAATAATACAATTTCTCCCACCCTACCCATCAACATTGGTGTTCCTCAGGGCAGCATACTTGGCCCTCTCCTCTTTCTCATCTACATTAATGACCTTCCAAATGCCTCCCAACACCTCAAACCAATTCTATTTGCTGACGACACAACCTTCATTTACTCCAGTCCTGACCCTCTTGCTCTAAATGCCACAGTAAATACTGAGCTAAATAAAGTCCATCTTTGGCTAACTGCCAACAAACTCACCCTTAACATTGACAAAACCTTCTATATTCTGTTTGGCAATAAATCCTCTAGTCTTATAAATCTCAAAATAAACAATACCCAAATTTGTAACAAATTAGATGGCAAATTCCTTGGCATTCTCATTGACCACAAGCTGAATTTCCAGGGACACATTCTAAATATATCAAAAAAAGTTTCAAAAACTGTGGGCATTCTTTCTAAGATCAGATATTATGTACCACGCCCTGCCCTGGTGACTCTCTATTACTCCCTTATCTATCCTTATCTCAACTATGGTATTTGTGCTTGGGGTTCTACTACCCAAAATCACTTACGTCCTCTAATTACCCAACACAAAGCCGCTATTAGAACAATATCCAACTCTGGCCCCAGACATCACTCGGTACCCCTACTCAAATCTCTTAATATGTTAGATATTAAGTCACTGCACATTCTCTCATGTGTATTATACATATATAAAACGCTAAACTATAATGCCAATCCTGATCTTAAAAGCTTCATAGAAGGTTGTAACAGAACCCATGAGCACCACACCAGAAATAAATACAGTTTTGATATTCCTAGAGTACGTCTTAATCAAACTAGAAATGCTCTGCAAATCAAGGGGCCCAGAATGTGGAATGACCTTCCCAACCATGTTAAAGACTGTACCTCTCTCAACCAGTTTAAGATAAAAACTAAACACTACCTAATAAATTCCCTGTAATCTACCTCACTCCTCTATTGTCAACCCATGTCTGTTATTTTTTTTTTTTTTTTTTTTTTTTTAATCAACACTGTTTGTCAACCTTTTGTATTTGTGCTGCTTTTTCAGTCATGTTCCCCCTTTTTTTTTATCTTTATTTGTATTTGTTCTCAACATCTTTTATTCTTTATGCTCAATTAGTATTAAGTTCTAGATATTAATGTTTTCTTGCCCGAAACGCATTGCGTAATAGTGGCTTTAGGCATTGTATGTACTAGCTCTATCTATATATCAATCCATTAATGTAACATCACTTGTATGTATATACCTTACCTGAATAAACATCTGAATCTGAATCTGAATCTGAATTCTGAATTGACCTGCGGGCCACTCGAACTAGTGGCCTCGACGAGGACAAGCCAGTGTCTTGTTAACCTCTCCCTTGATTGCCTTCATTTCGTCCTACTAGATTTTAGCCGTTTTTTAATAGTACGGCTTTGGCGGGTATACGGTTTCAAGGGGGTTAATATACCTGTGAGTGGTAAAGTTGATAAGTCCTGCTCGCATTCATTCCAGAGGACGCGGCTGATCTTTGCTAGACTTGTATAGTTTTGGAAGTGTAGAGTTCTCTTAGAGGGCGGCCAATTATGACCCCCTTATGTGTAGAGGGTATGTTAGTGTCTTAGAGCCCGTGATAATTCTCCCTCGGCGTACCTAGTACACCGCTTTGCAATATCATTGCATATCCTGCCATGCTCAATAGCTTTGTTCCGAACCTTAATGGAATCTGACCCATATATCAATCAGGTCAACCCATGTGTTGCGTTTCCAAAAGGGACGCCCTAGTAATATTGTTGAAAACATCTTAATAACTTATTAAAACCAAAGGTCTTTTTGTCAGAACGGCAGAAACTGGATCTATACATGAAAACTTTCAGGACAAAATTTAAAGTAAAACTAAAATATTTGTAGTTGTATAAAAGTTGCATTTTTCATCGGTCGTAGAGCCGGAAATCCGCAATATTCATCTCGGAACAATGCTTATTTAACGCAGAATCGTTAATAAACTTAAGATTTTTATACGTCTCAAGAAAGATAGAAACATAATCTTCATTTTAAATGCCTTACCATGGGCATATTTGTATTTAAAGCGAAGATACGTGTATTTTTCTAATCGGCGAGCTCCGATCCCGCACAGATCGAGCAACAGAGTAACTCTCTCTCAGAACAATGCTTATTTCACGTAAATTCGTTAATAAACGCAAATGTTTTTATGTGTTGAGAAAGATAGAAATATAAGCTTCATTTTAAATACTTTACCATAGATATATATAAAGTTCTAATGAAGATAAATGTGCTTTAATAATCGCCGAGCTCCGACCCCGCACAGACTGATCGACAGAGCAACTCTCTCTCGGAACAATGCTTATTTCACGTAAATTCATTAATAAACACATATGTTTTGTCTCAAGAAAGATAGAAATATAAGCTTCATTTTAAATACTTTAACATAGACATATATAAAGCTCAAGTGAAGATACATACGTTTTTATAGTGGCATTCAGTAGCTTGTCGGTCATGGAATGCAGAAGCCTACGCACTTGCCAATATAGTGTAATTAACAAAGATAGTCTTATAAAGACTAAAATATTATATGCCTTCAGAAAGAGATATGCTCGTTATTGTGAGTGCACCAAAGGAAGTATATCTTGTTGGAGGACAAAGATATATCAATTCTAAAATAAGTTTTGACTCTCGCTCGGGCGAGAGATAGCGCGACTCTCGCCCCATCTATTGGAGATTCTGTTCACCTAATGACCCAAAGCTACTCAAAGCCTCCTAGCATTACTTAAATAATGAAGAAATATGGTATATTTATTCACTATAATGTTGGTGCTTAATGCAGAACACGAGAACATATATTTACTATAAAATAATAATATTTACTTATGAAATAAGTAAATATGTGGCCTCATAGGAAGTAAACGGTCCAGGTGTCAATGTTGTGGAGCGACTTATCCAAGATATATTGTCTGGAAAGTGTTTGTTGGCATATCAACCTTCTGTACAGTGATCCAGTCGTCGCACTTCTCTCCTTAAATGATCGCAAATTTAGTTTCTTATATTAACAAGTAGAATACGTATTTCTAACAATATCTAACATAACTAGCCAGAAAATATTCAAGACTTATTGAAAAATACATGTCTGGAAGTTAAATAGACTTCATAGAACAATAGTGTTGGTCTATACTAATCGTTATTCGTTAGTATGCGTTTGCTACTTAAAACATTTACTGTACTGATGTAAAATCTCCCACGTCTCTTCGCACATGGAACACCGAACCTTACAGTCTGATATATTGTTTAATTAATAGATTCACTAATAAAGCTTATTGTATGTTATCAAAAAGGCATAGATAAAGTCGTTCTTACGTTTTAGTCACAGATTAGATATTAGTAAAGTTCATTTTATTCAGGAAAGTACATAAATAGTAGATTTACAAACATAATATTGGATTTATAGATAGAGCTAGTACATACAATACCTAAAGCCACTAGTACGCATAGCGTTTCGGGCATATTATTGAGAGGAAAGATATTTATATTAAATTTTTTTTTTTTTTTTTTTTTTTTTTTTTTTTTTTTTTTTTTTTTTTTTTTTTTTAGACGCTCTCCCTATTGATGAACTACAACCTAATGAAGATAAATGTTAATTTTATGTAGATACTGTAATAAACGAAAGTTTTTAATGTCATCAGAGCAGAAATATAGGCAAATTTTAAATCCCTTGTCATAAATATAACTGAAGTGAAAGCAAAGATATATGCATTTTGATAGTTACAAAGACAGCTCTTTAACACGGGTGGAACACGAACAAGGGGAACTTAGTACCCAAATGAGCCACAGAGATATTACAATTTTTTCAGTGTCAGAGTAGTTAACAAATGGAATGTATTAGAGGAACAGGAATAGTGCTTGAATATAAAGAGCATAGTGGTGGGATCCCTGGAATTGAAGAATCTCTTAATCTGTCCAATAAAATTTTCTGGCAGTATTAATAAATTTCATATTATATAAAATGTACATTGGGGTTAAGACTTCATTTCTATGAAGTTTATTTTACATTCTTGTAAAGCCACTAGCATGCATAGTTTTGAGGCATTTAATAATTTTTAATTTCTTCAAATTATTCCCAAATCCTTTAAATGTTGCATTCTTACTGTGGGCAGATTTGATTATCATCGTCTACATTTTTACTGTACCACAGCACCTATAATTTGTTAGTCATCTTCTGCTGGCAACTTGAAAACAAATCTTTTAGTTTGGCTTGAATTAATCCTTAAGCCACTCCTGGCTATTTGGCCTTTGTCACCCACAGGTGCATAAAAAATCTTTAACATTTTAATTTGTTCCCTGATAATGAGAAATAATTGTACCAATGATGTAAATGAACAAAGTGATGTCACACCCTGCATGAGCAAGCATGCAAGGTGTTCCATGTGGTCTTAAAGCAGCCATTTACCACACATTAAATATTTTTTTGGCAGAATTTAGTATGTATGGGTATTTTATAAAAAAATTAAACCATATTGAATGTTAATTTAATATAAATTATAATAAAACTGGGTCATTGAAATTGAATTGAAATTGAAATAAGTTTATTGAGGTAAAATACACACAAAGGGATGAGGTAGCTCAAGCTATTCTCACCCCATTCAGTACAACGTGTTAATATATACATAGACACACATCACAAATAAACACATTACCAAACATAACTGGGTCATAGTATACATGTGAATAAGTTACAAATGCGGACGCAAATGTTTTCATTTACACCGCATTTACAAATGCGAATACATTTACATGTATTCGCTTATATTTACACACATCAACTTGAGTTGATTACCAGTTTTTTACTTTTTTGCACATTTAGAAATATTGGACAGTGGTAGTCGTTGAAGGGTTGACAGCACACAATGGCACCACATTTCACACCAGTTTACATTTATGGTATTTTTTTGTTCTACAAACTATGAAATTGCATTGGCCTACTGCACACTTCCCAGCTGGTGGCAAATGTCTGTGCTTGAAAGGGCTCCTGTATAAGTGAACCTGGGTGTAGCAGCATAGTGCAATAATGGGCTCATAATGGATCTTTGTATGGCAAGAATATCTTTGCCAACCTGTTAGTAGTTGTCAAAACCATAAAACTGAAAGTTGGTTTATGTCTTGGTTTTTGTAGTCATATTTAAGCTGTTTAGCATACTTATGTCAAAGATGTAAACTTGTTTAGTTAACTTCAAATGTTTTCCATACACTTAAGTGACACGATTGTGGGCACTGTTATGAACCACACATGTTGATATTATAGTAAACACAATGTGGTTAATATACTGGTTTTATTGCTCAGTTCAGTTATCATAACGGTTGTCAAAGTTCACTTGTCTTGTCTTTCCACCTAATAGTGCTGTATTTGATCACTTTTCTTAGGTGGCAGTTGCCAAATTGTCATACTGGCGGCATTTCCCTTCTTGGCCTTACTATGCTACACAAGTTCTATTTTCAATAAAGAACATGGTTAGCAAGGGGTATAGTAGTTAACCATGTATAAAATGTGGCCCTTGTTTGTAGTTCCATTGGTGACTTTGCACTACCTGAGAAACCATGTTGGTCTTTACCAAGAATGTCTACATACAGAATCTTGTAACATGTATCCTGTTTGTCACAACATAAAATTTCAATCCAAATCTGTTGCATTTGGAGGGAATATACTGCTTGAACCCAACATGTCCTTTGAAAAGCACAAGGGATTTGTTAATCACTAGCTTCTGTGCTGGTACATAGAAATCTCAGTACTTTCCAATCCATTTGTAATGTGCCTAACTCTGCAAAGTATATCATCCTGTCTAGTCTTCACTATTTGCAAAATGAAGACACCTGAGGGGTATCTGAAACCTGTATACATATATTTCCCAAACAAAGGTGTTGGAACATTCTAGTGTTTGCTCCAATAATCAGATACCGTTTGTTTCAACAACGGTGGCAAAAATGCATACATCTCGGTAGTGGTTTTTCCAATGATGTAATCGTATTTTTTTTTTTTTTTTTTTTTAAAGATGCACTGCATGAATGTTCGTTTGACTTACAATATATGCCATGAGCAGCTCATCATAATGCTGTAAAATTGTAAATTTCACATGTCCTCACCAGTATCAGGGAAAAGGGCTAATGACATCTTTATTGTCAAAGGCAGGAAATGGAGGAAAGTCACTCCATAAAAGTACACCTGGTGTCCAGAGATGAAACGGTGACACCACGGCGAGGAATCTTTGTGCACTGTGGACCAGGAACTGAAGCCCCTGTACACAGGGTACAGGTGCCAAGTACACATAAAGTAAAATTGCATGAACACAGGAGATATTGGTTCCTCATGTGGTGCCATGCAGCTGCGCTTGGGTGGGAGAGATGATGCTAACGTGACAATCTCGCTTAGTAACACTGGCACTAATGACAGGTATGGTAGCACTATGCTCAGATTCCACTGCACTAAAACCATTTACTTAAGTTTTCATGGTGATTTTTGTGTAGTTAGTCCTAAAATCCTTCGGTGAAAATAATCTTTGAAATATTTATTTTAATAGGGTTTATTAAATTGTATTTGCAGGTGGTAAATCCTGGCTCTGCTGCCTTTGCTCCCCAGCCCAGGATATAGTGGCTAGTCTTAAACACCCTCTCAACATTGCAGTTCATGGAAGTGAGGCCCTGAGCTGATGTACCCTGCAGTGAAGTGGGTTTGCTGAAGTACAGCAGGTCATGGCACTTTCAACCCACATCTAGCAGCTGGCACAAACTGGCGTACATCAGATTGGAGTGGGCAAGGACCAGCTTCCCATGGAGAAATGACAAACAAATGTAAGATAGGTACAGTAAATGTGAGCTCCCTTCACACTTAAAGTAGTTCATAGTTTTAATATTAGAATCCCCCTCCTAATAAACCCCCCCCTAGCACTATTTATTGGCATACTATTAAGAATGTCCCTTTGGTAAAAAATTAAGTGCTTTAGGCATAACCACAACTTCTGAAGGACATTAAAGATCCTCTCTAAGCTTATTTGCACTAGTCATTACAGTTGGTTGCATAAACATTAAATTTATAAGAATGGTGGCCAGTAATTAAAGAACGTGACTGCAATTAAAATTTGTGGTAAATGTGCGTGCACTCGCTTTGTCCACCAGTCGGTTAAAATTAAAAATTGGCAATTGCTTGGGCACTTAGTACCAAAATTATACATTAACTTAAGAACTTTACCACCCACAGTTATAATATTTCATATGATAAAACCTAGGTGTTAATAAATTTCACTTTATTAATTGGGCACTAGTGGTATATATGAATCATGCCCTTGGCAGACATGTAGATAACCAAATATTTGTCATGTAATTATTCAAGTATTTTGAATACTGTTTCATTAACATTATTTTGGTCGTGTAAAAATTGAATAAGGGTTATTTATAAGTGCTGTAGACAGATGTTAAAGCAGAGCCTTTAGCATACAGAAGTTTGATGTTGGTAGAAAAATGTGAATATTCCTGTTTAGTAAGGGGGAAGACTGTGTAATTTAAAGCATCTTGGTCTATAAAATTCCTGTGTATAATACAAAGACTTTTCCTACGCAGGATTGACTAAAATTCAGATAATGGTTGCATTAAAATGTAAAATATTAAAAAAAAAAGATTGCTTTTGTATATGTAATGGATATAATGTTCCTTGATAAGGGCAAGGGTATGCTTTAGTTTCCTGAATAAGTCTGGATGGCAGTATAATACAGGCAGTGTGTAAATCTAGTTTCATTTTGCAGATTATAGTGGATGACGTATCGGCAGGGGAAGTGCAAGACTATCCATACCCAAGATCAGAGATGCAGAAATTGCATTTCTAGTAAATGTTATCCCTGGGTTAGTACATGTTAATGTTTGTCCCCCACAAGTAAAATTTGTTTACTGGTTATCTTGAGATGATTTCGGGGATTTTTAGTGTCCCCGCGGCCCGGTCCTCGACCAGGCCTCCACCCCCCAGGAAGCAGCCCGTGAGAGCTGACTAACACCCAGGTACCTATTTTACTGCTAGGTAACAGGGGCATAGGGTGAAAGAAACTCTGCCCAGTGTTTCTCGCCGGCGCCTGGGATCGAACCCAGGACCACAGGATCACAAGTCCAGCGTGCTGTCCGCTCGGCCGACCGGCTCCCTACCGGCCATTTGTATTAAGTGAATACAAATGTCAAAGTATTTATCAAGGTTTAATAAATGGCTTAAACTTTATCTTGATTTCTTTCAATGAAATATTTTACTAATGTGTAGTTACATTAAACATATCAATTACTGCAGAATACAAATTTTGAATGCACCATTAATGACCCCTTATTTAAGAATAATTTTGGCATTAGTTTGAAAGTGTGAATAATCTGGAAATGTAGTAAAATCACTTGTACTTGGCAGTTGCATAATTCCAAATATTCATGAATGCTGGGTTTGAAATTGTAAAGATGATAAAGTTGGATACATTGCTTTTCATGAATGAATTTTGTTTGCCTAGCAGTAAATGGGTACTACAGAGTTTGAACTGTTTATGCACAGGCCAGTCCCAAAGAAAACATTGATTAGACACCATAATGATCTTGACTAATGCAATGGCAAAAATGCTCTAGTGAAATGTTATATCAAAAGGTTGCTGATGTAGTTAGATCTTGACTGAACTTGTCATCTATATCCCTGTATCCATATTTCTAGTGGCCATTGAGAATAGGAAGCTAGCTGTCACACAGGGCCCCCCTTTGTTTTAATTATAAAGGTTTCTTAAATGGCAGCATTTGCTTGGCATTTATGGCTATAGTAGGTAGACTGTTCCATGGCATTATACTCCTGTTGGTGAAAAGCATCTCTAGTTTTATTCTGCATTGTGATGTGTTTTAAACCATTGATCCTTGTCAATGTCCTTGACCTTACAAGTTGAGTGTAAAGTTTAAGTTGGTATAGGTGTTTGGTTTGTAATGTTGCACTGTGGGTCTAGACTTTAGTTTTTACCAAGAGTGGACTTGCATAAGAATTATTGGCTGGTGTTGAATATCCTCCAAAACGGACAAGATTTCTGTAGTGTCCATAAGTCTTAATTTGGTTGTATAAGAACCTTAAAGTATTCCTAAGGTTTGGTTGCCTGTCTTAAACTGTAGCTCCCACTTGTGCAACTATGATTGGTAGTGACTTGGTCCTTCTTGATGTACTGAGAGGTAAAAGTTTTGGCATTAGTGATGGATGATGCTGCACATACTGTTTTGGAAATTTCAAATAGTTTGCCAGTCTTCCAAACATTTGTGGTGTAGACTTGGTGCATAAACATTACAATTAATGTCCTTTGCAAAGTAGATGTACATTTTAATTGTAGTCGGGGAGAAAATGTAATATTGGGTTCTTGCAAGCCATGTTTAGTAATTTTTGGCATCCTTATGCTGGGAATTTAAAGTAAAAAAAAAAAATTGCCCATTCTAACAAAGTAGTAGCTTGTCAAAAGGTTTAGGAAAATTGCTGAAACTTGTGGTATTAGGTGGTTAATTTATAGAAGTTAGCATGAGGTTTATATTGAGTCTTGGTTTTACTAGAGGTCAGAGATAGTGAATGAATGAGACATTGTACATATGAAAGATCAACATTAGATCATATTTTCCTGGCCTGTCTAAAAAAAAAAAAAAGGCAACATTTCCACATTTGGAAATGTGTAATTATTTGTTGGTCAAAAGGCAATTGGAGCTAATGGGACACTTTGTAATGTTCCAAAAGAAATTTGTCTTGAAATGGTCATGCCTGTGGCCCTAGCATTTCAGATTTTCTGTTTGTAGCTGATATTATTGGATGCCTTAAGTTTGTTTGCCTCAAATACTTCATTTCTGAATACATGCATATAATGGTTGTTCTTGTCTTTGACTCAAAGTGAAATTGGTTTGTATGCTTTGAATGAGCTGTGGGGTTGCCAAGGCCTGAAATCATGTCAATTGTCAAACAATATTGTTACCTTAACATTAATGGAGGCATTATGGGCCACAATTTTCTTTTGGTAAGAATATTCCCATATAGTAAATTGTTTAAGAATGAAAGTAATCTAAAGTTTTTTATTGGAAATGCATATCTTGATTTATGGAGGACTTGGTTACTGATGAATAATCCCACCTAGTTGGGTTTTAGGTGAATCATTTTAAGAAATGTATTTAAAATAACATTTTGCTTCAGTATTGTTAAATGTATCTTGCATCCCAGTCAGGAAATAAAATTATGTAATGTCTTTGATATGGGTAGTTTAAGTTTATACAACATGTGCATAAATTAAAATTGTTAAAGTTACTAATTGTAATTTTCTCATTTGACAGGTGTGGAGGCCCAGGACATCTGCAAGGAGAAGCCAGTATGTATTAAAAGCACATTTTTGTTTTAATATAGCTGAATTGGCAAATTGTTTTGCATGGTAGCTGTCATTATGACCATGTTAGTGTAATAAATTGTATGATTGCACTGATTAACAAAGGTGCAACTGTACAATTTAGTACTGACTTGCCTTATTACACTAAGGTAAGTCAGTGCTACATTGTACAGTTGCATCTTTGTTAATCACAATTTATTACACTAACATAGTCAAAATGCCAGCTACCAAGTAAAACAATTTGCCAATTCAGCTATATTAAAACAAATGTGCTTTTAATACATACTGGCTTCTCCTTGCAGAGGATGGAATAAAAATAAGGGTAGAGGATGTGGAGCCAATCTTAAAAAGATACTTTGTTTTGGATGTAATAAAAGTACACAAATGTATATCTTTTTTATTTCACAATCTCTTTTACACCATAGTGATTCTGATACCAGCCTTTGACATGAATAGCTTAGCAGCTTTGAACATTCTGAATTTGCATAGCCTCTTTGAGAAGCCATAGTTTGAAGTTGATTGCCTTATGACAGGGCACCCTACTTGGGCTTGGCTGAGCCTCTGAGTGTGGTGCCCTGTCATAAGGCAACCAACTTTAAACTATGCAAGTTCAGAAAGTTCAAAGCTACTAAGCTTTTCTTGTGGCTAAGGCTGGTATTGGAATTACCAGAAGTGTCTTCCTCATTGCCATGATTTATTGAAGTCTTACTGATTTCTATACCTAGTATTATAAATTACTTTGCCAAGCTAAACTGTACCTAATATTACATTTAAATGCCTTTCCAATCACCTTGCTGACTTCACTTTGAGGATAGACTTACAGCTACCTGATAACTAATGAAATGTAAATACTTTCAATACCTTACATAAATGCTGACTTGAAGGCATCTAATGCAATCTGAAAATAAATTTAAAGCATTATTATTCTAGTTAATTACATCAATATTTATTTACACATTTTGAAGAGCTGATGTCAAGTGCTTTAGATAAATTATTATTACTGTAACTACAAATTTGCTAAAAGTGAAGATTTGCAACACCATACAAGTTCATGTCTGATAAGATAAGAGTATAAGTAGTTTGAAACCTATGGAGGTAGACTTTCAAATGGTCATAGCAAAAGTACTTTCCCATAATATAACTTGATTTAAGACCACTTGATTGCCAAAAATATTGAAAATGCTGATTAAGCCCAAACCAGGAGTACTGTATATAAATGGGGCTTCATTCATTGATGAATACTGAAAGCATTCTTATGCTGAGAGAACTTGATTAGACTACACAATGAATATTCTGGAATCAATCTATTATATCTACAGATAGTCACATGCTTTCTCAACATCTATCAAATGTTTACAAAAAGCACTTGGTTATTCTCTAATTTGTCCATGGTGTTTCAACACAACCAATTTGTCTTTATTACAAGTTCATAAAACTTGCTGATGCAATTATGCTAGACTACAAACATCTAGGTAAAGTACTGTTTGCATCTTAATGAAATTATTTACATTAACCCAAGCATCCATGAATCACCCAGTGTACAACATTTGCCTATACTCTCAATGGCAATAGATTACATCTAATGAATACCATGTGACCCTGATGTCATGGAACACCAGATATACAGACAAGACTTTAAGCTAAGGATTTATATTGTATTATAAGATTCCCAGCTACAATCCAAAAGCACAGCATGGGAATTACAACTAACACCTGCCACTCATGACCACAACAAAAGAGCCTTGAAAAACAAAATTCATTATATCGGCAATTAATTTACTCACAATGTTGGGAATATTGTGCCAGATATTCCACATATGGTCAATAATATTTATACTGTATTAGACATCAACTCCTCTGCCTAGCTGTGTTGAGCTGAGCTAACATACCTGCCTTTTTTTGTATACTAAATGAACCATTTTCCCATCTGATGCATCTTCCAAGCTGCAAGCTTTCAGCTAACAGCGAGAGCACATATCACCAAGAAATTCGCCTTTGCATGCCATGGGCAGCATGGTACAGGATAGAATTACCACCACCATCAACTAAGTTTAATTGAAATAGAACATGTGTCATATAAGCAATGAAAAGGTATTAGACACTCAACTTTAACTCTGATTTCCCTCCTCCATCCATTATGTCCTCAGGGGTCGCCGTACTGCCAATCTGTAAATATTAAATTACAATACTGTACATTAACTTTTCCAACACAGTATATGACATTTTTACCTTTCTTTTTTCCCCCATAATATTCCACTAATATCAATACAGGTATCTTTATCAAAGAACATCATGATCTTTCACTATTTTAACTGCTGCACTGACACCCATTTTATACCTTGCAATGCCCAGATGCATATGAAAAAAACATTCAAAAGCTACATTTCCCTTCTAATATTGTTAAAATATGTTCCCTTATCATAGAAAATACATTATATTTTATGTGGCTCACTTTGGGCATGAAGCAAGGTAATGTCATGATGGCATCACGATTCATGAGTACTTGTGGACAAGTCACCCCCAGGCAAGTCTCCACGAAGATATTTTTATGGCTAACTTTTTTTCCCAATACAGAAACTCCTTTTGCACACATTTTGTGTGCAATAACACTGTACCAACTATATTCAGTACTAATATACTTGCTCCATATTCTCATTAGCTTCAATTAGATGTGCCAATTAATTCCACTTATCCCTAAGGAACTCTACTTTCCAGGAACTTCTACATTAATCCTAGATAAACTAATTACAATTAATATCTCTTCCCAAGTGTACAACTAATTACAATTAATACCTCTTTCCAACCTGCTAGATGTTGCTCAGTTATGCAAGGTTAGGACAAACTTGTAATATAAGCCCTCTTCAGCAAATCATCATCAGTCCAATTCCAACAGTGGTTCAGTATAGACATTTAAGAGATACCGCAGATCCTAAATACCAAGTAGCATTCACCGGCAACAATCTAACACTCGTCGAGTCTACTTCCTCATCTCTTAACATGCTACAGCCTCATCACAGAGCACACAGCCAGATTCCACCTGCATTGAGCTTCCATGCTCTCACCCTGCATTCCAGCTCTCCAACCCCACCTCCATTCCAAGCACCATTGGTGCTCTCACGCAGCATCCGAGCTCTCTACCCCCGGCCTCACACAAGCCCTCTGCCCTGCTCCAGCCCTCTTCTCGGCTATCATGACACCCCTTTGACATTCAACAGCATACACTCCCCTACTACGCCACATCACTCATTGCCAACGACTGACTGACTGACTGACAAACACTACATTAAATATAAACCACCACTAAATTCTTTTAGTTTGTACCCAAATACGAACACGTAATCATACGTTACACCACTATGGTCACATTTCTTGAAAGCTTTTGCAAACTGTGAATATTACATCAGTGTTTTGTCTTCCATGGCATCTAAGGCCATGTCACAGTGCTCTACCCACTGTGAAAGGCACGAGCACCCTGTTTTCAACCCATGTTGCCCAAAGTTATGAAGACACTGTCATTCAATTTGTTTTGTGATCTTCCTACAGTACTTAGCACTCTTTTTAAAGATTTTTATGATGATAAGGCTATTGGTCTATAATTTCTTTCCATCAACTTTCTTACCTCCTTTCTGAAGTGGTGCAAGCTCCGCTATTTTAAGTATGTCAGGAATAACATCAGTATCTAAGGCTCCCTCTTCAAAACATGCTTAGGGACTGTGATAGTGATTTTTTTGCACTTCATGAATTTACAATTCTGGGAATCTCAGCCTAATGCAGAGTGCATGGGCATGCTGTCTATACCTACTTCAAAGTCAAGTTGGGGTTTGGGTACCATCGGAAGTTTGTTTGATGGTGGTGTCACATTCATAAACATTTTGTTTGAATCATTGACCTCCACTGTGTTCACTGAATACAGATTCAGACTATAACCTCGGTATTTCACTCATTTCTTTGCCGTCATTTGTCAAGGTTCCATCACTTTGCACAAGGGTGATGCAGGATGTAGTTTTTTCTAGATTATGCATAGAAAAACTAGTATTTTGGATTCCTCCCTATGTTGCTTATGACCTTTTACTCTCTTGGCCTCTCATGGATTTTATGATTCCTGCAACTTTAGCTCAATTGTTTCTATTTATCTACATAGCCTTTTTTGTCTATCTTGGGATACAGTAGAGCATTTAAGATGCTTTGCAATTTGTTTTCTTCGCCTGCCATTCTTGTTCCATTTGGCTTTTTTTTCTCTTTCTCCTTAGTGGTGCTCCTTAGCACATATTTCTAGTGCTACCGTGCCTAAATAATACCTCTTAAACCACAGCCATTGTTTAACTTTGCATTATTTACCTGTCTTTCCCCCCAAAAAATTGTGATGGCTTGGTTTATTTCTTCCCACTTCATCTGTTACTGAAATTGATTTTGCCAAATTCTCCTCCTACTCAATTTCAAACTACAGTACCTGAACAGATCTATAGCCCATGCATGTCTCAACTTCAATTAGGTTGCGATCTAAGCAACATGTACTTGTAATCATTATGTCCCTATTAAGTTCATTATTTGTATAAATAAAATCTAAGGTCTTTTCTTTCCTAGCAAGTTCTACTATTTGCCGATTTAAGACAACTCTGTCACACATCTACAAGAGGTCATCTGTGTGTGACTGTTCACTAAAACTGCTTCCTGGGATTCTTTGGTATAAATGTATTTGTGAAATTTTTCAATTTTTGCTAAGTTAAAGTCGCAAAGCAACATGATGTTCGGAACAGGGTTTGTGAGGTTTTCTAAGCAGCATTCTATTTTTGCAAGTTGATCTTTAAACTGCTGAGCATTTGCATCTGGCGATTTATATACAAGAACAATCACCACATTTATAACTTCTATTTTGATTATCAGCACTTCCACCATATAATTTATGGTGGTACTGAACAAATACTGAACAATTTGGAGGATGTCGATCTGGTTAATTTCTTCAAAAGATCAGTCAGATGTAACACGAACGAGAAGCAATGGGTTCAAGCTGATCAAACCACAATGTAGAACAGAAAACAGGAGATGCTTTTTCACCCCATAGAGTTGTACACCCCATCTAACTGCCAAAGCTGTAAATGCCAAAAACTCTGCTGGGTTTTAACATTCACCTGGAAAAGATCGTCAGGGCAAATGAGGGGACCTTTGACAAGCTTCCGGCTTCCTGTCCTCATCGAGGCAACTAGTATTAATGACCCTCAGGTAAATTCAGGTCACCCTGTAGCCCATGTTTTCTATCATGTCTGAAAAAAACAGATTTCTCGTATCTGTATCTCATTCTCATAATACGTAGTCCTTCATGTGAGTTTCAATCAAAACTTCAAACATTGTATTTGCCTTATTTAGGAAACCAATTAGAAAGTGGACTATCTCTGTTTTACATGTTTTGACGCCTAGTATGTTGGCAAATAAGAAAGACGTTATCATATCTGTGGAAGTGCTGGTTATTTTACTTGGTGTTCATATCTGTGGTTCTGGTAGGAGGTGCCACACTGTGTCCTGTCTAGCACTTGACCAAGTTGGTGGTAGACTTTGGACATTTCTTGCCATTCTCTGACTAACAAATCCCCTTGGTATTTATGGGTGGTGTTGTATTCATAACTTCCTCCTATTGCTTTTATTGGCTTGGTTCCTTTGATATCAAATGATGGGCAATCTGTTAAAACATTCTTTCTTGTTTAGTGAATTTTTAGTTTTGGGTGGAAAAATGTACAATTTTCAAAGTGACATATACTGTACCTCTATTTAGGATATTTTTTTCATTTTTTTCAGCTGTTTAAATTACCATGTTCCATTAGTTCTTCTGATAACCCATATTTGCATGCACCACCTGCATATTATTGGCAGATTCCTGGTTTGTGCTTTGTTGAATTGCGTTGGTTTATCCGTGGTACACTTTGTGTTGGTTCTTTGCTTCAAGATGTTGGTCGAGGTCTCTCAGATTCTTGTTGTTGCTCAGTCTTAACTGTTTCTATTCTTACTTTCTCTGACCACTTGTGCATGGATTACCTGCATATTATCCTTGCACTTTCATATATCCTGAAAACCTCCTCCATCATTTCAGGTGAAAGCTCTTTTCCTTCTTGAATTTCTTTGCTAATTTATTGTATTCAATGACATCTGGATTTGATTTAACTGCAAGAAGTATCTTTACTACTTTATTTTCTTCCTCCAGCTTTTTTCCTTTACTTTCCCAGTGATGCTTATCTTTGTATAATATGATAAAGACTATGTACAATATTTAGATATCAGTGAACACAGTTCTATTTATGATGTTCACAGCACAACACAGACACCCATAGCATTCTGTCATTGTTTGGTGCATTTATGCATCTTGAAGCAATAATGAATGTTCCATTTGCCCAAACGCTGTGCATATTAGTGGCTCCAGGCTTTGTATGTACTAGCTCTATCTATAAATGTTTGCAACTCATTTTCAATGTACCTTTACCGTAATAAACATCTTATCTTATTCAGAAAATATACCTGTGCAAAATTATTCATATTCAGGGTTTAATTAAGAGGAGTCTGATAATAATAGCAGCACTGTGGCCACAGTTAGCAATACGAGCATTATATTACCAGCATTATGGTGAGTGAGGGCACGTCGTCACCTGACTACCATAATTACCTAAGTAGTTACAGAATGAGAGGTATGCTCATGGTGTCCCATCTTTCCAGTACACACTGTTGTATAACGCTTTGGAACCACTGCCGGTTTTGGTCTCCACCACCTTCTCACTGAACGTGTTCCAATGGTCTACCACTCTGATTGCAAAATTTAACTATCTAAAGTATTTTTGGCAGCTTTGTCTAGATACTGTACCTTAAACCTATGACCTCTTTCCTTGAAGTTCCAGGTTTCAAGAATTCTTCTATATCAATTTTGTTGATTCTTATTACTAATTTCTACATGCTGATAATATCACCATTTTTTCCTTCTATCTTATAGCTTTGGCATATTTAATGCCACTGACCTCTCCTCATAGCTCTTGTTTTTCACTTCTGGATGCCATTTTGTTGCATGTCTTTGCCCCTTTTCCAGTCTGTTGATGTGCTTCTTGAGATATACAATAATATGGAATATGCAGCACAACTGCTGCATATTCCAGTTTTGGTCTCATGAAGGTCATGAACAATTTATTTAATATTTCACCATCCATATACATGAAAGTAATTCTGAAATTAAAAAGCATAGCATAAGCTCCTCACACAATGTTCTTCATATGCTCCTTAGGTGAGTTTTTTATCTGGAACCACCCCATGATCTTTCTATTTATTAGAATTCATTAAATCTTTTGCACGTAATTTGTACATTGTGTGGACTATTTTTGTCTATTCCACATTCCATAATATTGCATTTATTCACATTAAATTTCATTTGCCAAATGTTGCACCATTTCAATTATGTGAATGGTCCAGGTCTTCCGTAAGGGCATGACAATCGCCTAAGTTCCTTATCTTCCCTAGTATCTTATCATCAGCAAACATGTTCATATAATTCTGTATTCCTTCTGGTATATCATTTTAGTAGACAATGAACATCACTGTGGTACTCCACTATTGACATTTCTCCAGTATGATACATTGCCTCTGACTGTTGCCCTCACTTTTCTGTCAGTCAGAAAATTTTTCATCCATGTTAGAAGTCTCCCTGTCACTCTTCCAGTATTTTCGTTTCCAGAACAACCTCTTATGTGGGACTCTGTCAAAAGCCTTTTCTACGTCCAGATAAATATAATTAACCTAACCATCTCTTTCCTGTAAAATCTCTGTGACCCTATCATAGAAAGTAAGTAGATTTGATACACACATGATCTTCCCGATTGAAAACCATACTGTCTTTGTTATTACAGTGGTACCTCAGTTTTCTAATTTGATCCGTTCCCAGAGACAGTACGAAAACCGAAATTAATTTTCCCATAAGAAATACTGTAATTGTAAATTGAATTAATCTGTTCCACACCCACAAATATATTAACCAAAAAATACATTTTATACTAAATAATACTCTTAGGTACCTTACCTTTATTGAGGACTCTTGTTAGCATATAGAAGACAGTGAGGAAGGGGGGAGGAGGAGAGGTGTTAGTGTTAGGAAGGCAAGTTCCCTTCCATTATAACAGCATTGATGACATTTGTGGGTTACTCTCTCTCATGTTTTGCAGGCATACCACTAGGACCTGGTTGTGACTCACTGCTTGCTTCTCTTACTAAGAATCCATCTATAGACATTTGTTTTTCCCTACATTTTAACACGTGTCTGTAGTGAGACATCACACTCACTATGAATGATCTCTTGTTTTTCCTCTATTGTCATTCTCACAACTGTTTTCTTAGGTTGAACATACCACCGACTTTCAACATTACCACCGACTTTCTTAGAACCCATGGCATGATATATACAGTAATACAAACTTTTATCTTCAGAAACCAAAAAAGAACAACAATGAAATTCTTCACAAAGAATTCAAGCACAATCATCACTAGGCAGATACACCGAATCAAATTTTTCAAAGAAAATGAGCTCAAGACACGAAAACAGTGGCAAACGAAAACCGAGGTTCCACTGTACAGTACAGTATCAACTTCAAGTTTCATCTCCATTAGTGCAACAATATTACATCTCAATCTGTATTATATAAATTAACTCCAGTATTTTTTATCTCACTTCATCTATGTTAGTATATGCAATTTTCATGAACATATTCCCTATCCCTTTGTCCTTTACTTCTCCCTTTTTCTAATGATTTTATTGATTTGCCTTTTTGTAACATTTCACAGCCTTCCTAATCTCTATCACTTTATAGAAAATAGATTTGATTTTTACTTCATACCTACTCTCACTTAAATGTTTTGCTTCAACGAGATATGTTTTGCAGGAGCAGGTATGTTACCACTGCGCCACAGGGACTGCACTCATTATGGTGCACAAAAATGTAGATACTGCAGGTGTATAAAACGTATATCATATAATAACAGCAAAAACATTAAGTTTTATTATTCAAAGAACCATATTAACTGAATATATCTCTTTGTACCATTATTCTACATGTTTAGTCACAAATAATAATATTGACAGCCAAATACAACATTGCACTTGAAGAAACCATGGTAAAAACATTCTAAATAAGAAGGAAATGTATTCATTGTATGTGCTGTTAGAATTTAGTGCAAAATATGCATTACTGGACTAAACTCCGATAACCAGTTTTGAGAATATTACACTCGCCAGAAATGATTAGTGGTACATAATGGTGCATACAAAAGTAGATAGTTTAATAGTATATATGCAGTGTAATAGTGGCATAAACACTGTTTTATTGTTTAAATCATATAATAATTATGTTGCTGATATGCACACCATATTTTTTTAGTAGAGCAATGTTCCACACATTTTATTACATAAATTTATCAAATTACACACTACTGATTATTATTACTGCATAAAACCATTCAGAGACTTTGACATAATTAAGTACAGTTATCTTGGCACTGCCTGTCCCATGGGCGGGGCTGGAGCACACCATGGCAATTGACTGCTCTGTCAACACCTGAATATTGCCCCACTTTCTCGCTCCATCACGGCCAAAGTACGTCTCAAACTAATTTCTTTTCCCCATGAACACGGAATACATTTTAACAATATTAGAAGGAAAACTTTTTTATACATTTTTTTTATACACATCTGGGTGTTGCATGATATAAACAGGGACACAGTCCAAAGGTTAACAGTTCTTTAGTGCTTACCTGGGCTCTGACAGACTTTCCAGGTATGAGTGTACTGTATAATGTCCGATTTGGAGAGAGAGATTCAGCGTAGTTTTCAATGCTCTTCTTCAGGTGTACAGCTCTCTATCTGATCTAACAGCACATGTTTCTGTGGGAAATTTGTTTAATAAATGTAAATTCTATGAAAATTATGACTGTTGGCATGCTTTTTGAGTACTACAGAGCTATGGTTCCCAGCCTTTTGAAAACAGCACCATTTCTAATACTGTACTCAAAAGACCTGGGACCCTTGACACACTTTCATAAAGTGTGTCAAGTTAAAGAAAATTATTTTAAACCTTGCCTAATCAGGACATTCACCACTTACCACTAAGCCTCAGTGATTTAGATATACTGAGAATTTGAATACAACTGTGGTTCACCAACTGGAAACCACTGCTATAGAGAGTTCACTTTCTTGAGCAGAATTGCTTCATAATTTGAGAAGATATTATGCATGTATGAGAAATTGATAAAATAATTTACATTGTTTACTAAAGTGCCTATGAGCCAACTACTGACCTCCCCCAGGGTGCAACACACAACGGTTGCCTAACATTCATGTATCTATTTACTGCAAGGTGAACAGATGTGTAAGGTGAAGAGAAACATGCCCAACCATTTCTGTCAGGCTTGGAAATTGAACCCAAGATGCTTCGACTAAGTCGATGATGAAGACCACTGTACTACAGGCTCTGTAAATGGTAAAGAGCATTCACTTTCTTGATCAGAAGTGTTTCATAACTTGAGTGGATAGCATGCATGGTATATTATTCATATACAGTATTATGCATGTACAATGGCCCCCCCTCTGTTTACTAATTTAATATGTTCTCAGAGACGACCCATGACCTGAAAATTCGCAACCCGAAACAATTTTTCCCATAAGAAATAATGTAAATTGAATTAATCAGTTCCACACTCCTAAAAATATTAACTTCAAAATACTTTTCATACCTAATTCACATAAATATTTAGTACTATAGTACTAGTATGCGCAAGTTATAGCTTATCTTTATTGATGACTTGTTGACGTATGAAAGACGGTGAGGGACATTTCAATACACTCAACACTGCTTTTAGTACACAGTTCAGTTCAACCTACCACACCCATATCATGATATACTGTAATGTACAGTGGTACCTCAGCTTTCGAATTTAATCCGATCCCAGAAACGGTTCGTAAGCCGAAAATTCGTAAACTAAAGTGAATTTTCCCATAAAAAATAATGCAAATTGAATTAATCCATTCCACACTCCCCAAAAAATTAACTTCAAAGTCAATTTCATACCTAATTCACCCAAATCTTCAGTACTAAAGTACAGTACTGTATGTGCAAATTATTGCTTACCCTTGAACAAATCCACAAGGGCTGTGACAAGGGTGGATGGCATGATATATAATGTTTACAATGCTGTATTTTTATTCAAAACCCCAAAAAGCCGAACAATTAAATTCTTTATAAAGAATTCTAACGCGATCGTCACTAGGCGGGAGGCACTGGTAAACTGAAGCGCGGGTTACGGTGCCACCAGGAACCACGTGTTAGGTCGCCCATACGCGTATCAACCAACTACTTTACCCAAGGCAAAGCTCGTCACCTGATTCACATTTTATGAAGAAATTTGGCTCGTAACCTGAAAAGTTCATAAATATGGGCATTCGTAAGCCGGGGTGTCACTGTACATTATGAGGATCCCCTTAGTACAGTTGGGTTCGTTCTCGAATCACAATCGAGAATTTCAGGTTCTCGAGAATGCTGTTCCGGGAAGGACAGAAATAACTGGGTGTGTTTCCTATCACCTAATGCCCCTGTCCACTGAGCAATAAATAGGTACCCAGGAGTCAGCTATTTGTGACCTGGTACCCCAGGTCCTTACAAAAACCTAGACAAAGTGTATGGAGTAACACTTAGCAAATGGAATTTAATATGAATAAATGCCATGTTATAGAATGTGGCATAAGAGATAATAGGCCACACACACACACAACCTACAAATTATGTGAAAAAACTTTAAATAATTCTGAAAAGAGAGAGATCCAGGGGTCATTTTGGATAGAAAACTGCAACCTGAGTACCACAAACGCGAGTATATGCGAGCCGCGACTGGCCTTTAGAAACTTGTGTGAGGTGTCATTCAAAACCTTGTAAACCACATATGCCTAACTAATCCTGGAGTATGCAGCTCCACCATGGAGTCCATATCTCTTCAAGCACAAGACTAAATTGGAGAAGGTTCAAAGGTTTGCCACCAGACTAGTACAGCTCTCCTTGTAGCTCACACCCCTCACACCAGGTGAGGGGTGTGAGCTACAAGGAGAGACTACGGGAACTAAAACTCACGTTGCTGGAAGACAGAAGAGTTAGGGAAGACATGATCATCACATTCAAAATTCTCAGAATTGATAGACTAGATAAAGACAGTTTATTTAACACAAGGAGTACATGCACTAGAGTACACAGTTGAAAATTGAAGACTCAAATCTGCCACAGAGATGTTAGAAAGATTTTTTTTGTCAAATTAGTTAATAAATGGAATACATTAGTAAATGAAGTGGTAGAAGCAGACTCCATACACAGTTTCAAATGTAAAAATGTTAGAACCCAATAGACTCGGGATCTTGTACACCATCTACCTGGACCTAAAAAAGGCTTTCGACTGAGTTCCAGATAAGAGGTTATCAGGAAAGTGTAACATATTGGATGAATGATAGGTAGGCTTCTAACATGGATGAAAAAATTGTTAACTGACAGAAAAATGAAGGCAGTAATCAGAGGCAATGTATCAGACTGGAGAAATGTCAAGTAGAGTACCACAGGGTTCAGTTCTTGCACCAGTAATGTTCATTGTCTACATAAACGATCTACCAGATGGAATACAGAATTATATGAACATGTTTGCTGATGATGCTAAGATAATAGGGAAGATAAGAAACTTAGATGATTGTCATGCCCTTCATGAAAACCTGGACAAAATAAGTGTGGAGCACCATTTGGCAAATTGAATTTAATGTGAATAAATGTCATGCTATGGAGAGTGGAATAAGAGAACATAGACCTACACAACCTATAAATTATGAGAGAAATATCTAAAGAATTCTGATAAAGAAAGAGATCTCGGGGTGGTTCTAGATAGTTTTCTATCACCTGGGTACCACATAAAGAACATTGTGCGAGGAGCCTATGCTACACTTTAACTTCAGAATTGCTTTTAAAATACATGGATGGCGAAATACTAAAGAAATGCTTCACAACTTTTGTTAGACCAGAGCTCTAATATGCAGTGGTTGTATGGTGCCCATATCTTAAGAAGCACATCAACAAACTAAAAAGGTGCAAAGATATGCAACTAAATAGCTCCCAGAACTGAAGGACAAGAGCTACAAGGAGAGGTTAGAGGCATTAAATATGCCAAAACTAGAAGATAGAAGAACAAGAGGCAATATGATCACTACGGACAAAATAGTAACGAGAATCAAACTGGTAGGGAAGAATTCCTGAGACATGGAACTTCAAGAACAAGAGGTCATAGATTTAAACTAACTACACAAAGCTACCGAAGAAATACGGTACAGTATAAGGAAAATTCACTTTTGCAAACAGTGGTAGACAGTTGGAACAAGTTAGGCGAGGTGGTGGTGGAGGCCAAAACTGTTAGTAATTTCAAAATGTTATTTGACAAAGAGTTCTGGAAGACGGGACACCACGAGTGTAGCTCTCATCCTGTAACTACACTTAGTTAATTACTACACTTGGTAATTATAAACTGGTAATTTGGTAATTATAATTATAAACTAAAATTATAAACTATAAACTGGTAATTACCAGTTGGCTGCCAGTTGAAAGGAGAGACCAGAGAGCCAAAATTCTTAAAATACTGTACAGGCATGGCAAAATATTAAAAAAAAATCACAACTTTGTGAGATCAAAATTGAAATATGCAGTGTTTGTATGGGGCCAACCTTCTTTGTCGTCAACATCAATGACAGAAATGGAAATATTACAAACTACATCATCAAATTTACAGATGACACTAAGATTGATGGTAAAGTGGGAAGTGAAAATGATGTTCAGGCTTTACAAAGAGATCTACATGAACTCCACAAATGGTCAGATGGTTGGCAAATGCTTTTTAATATAAAAAATGCAAGACGATTGATTGATTGATGAAGATTAAGCCACCCAAAAGGTGGCATGGGCATGAATAGCTCGTAAGTGGTGGGTGGCCCTTTTGAGCCATCACCAGTATCAATAGATGATACTGGAGATCTGTGGAGGTGCGACTGCACCCAGCGTGACGGGAGATGTCTCCCGTGTTTTAAACAGATGAAGAAGATGAAGATGAAGCCACCCAAAAGGTGGCTCGGGCATGAATAGCCCAGAAGAGGTGGCCCTTTTGAGTCATCACCAGTATCAATAGATGATACTGCAGATCTGTGGAGGTGCGACTGCACCCTTCGTGACGGGAGATGTCTCCCGTGTGAATGTGTTAAAATGAAGATGAAGCCACCCAAAAGGTGGCACGGGCATGAATAGCTCGTAAGTGGTGGCCCTTTTGAGCCATCACCAGTATCAATAGATGATACTGGAGATCTGTGGAGGTGCAACTGCACTCTGCGTGACGGGAGATGTCTCCCATGAATGTGTCCAAGATGACGATTAAGCCATCCAAAAGGTGGCACAGGCATGAATAGCCCGTAAGTGGTGGCCCTTTTGAGCCATTACCAGTATCAAGAGCTGATACTGGAGATCTGTGGAGGTGCAACTGCACCCTGCGTGACGGGAGATGTCTCCCTTGTTACTGGTGACTGAAATGCAAGATCTTGCATGTGGGTCATAACAAACCACATCACAACTACCAAATTACCAACATTACCTTGCAGCAGATTGATGAAGAAAAGGACCATGGAGTCTGAGTCCATTATTCACTGAAAATTAATGACAAGTGGGAGCTGTGGTAAAAAAATAAAAAAAAGGTTAACCAAAGGGGCCTCGTAGCCTGGTGGATAGCGCGCAGGACTCGTAATTCTGTGGCGCGGGTTCGATTCCCGTACGAGGCAGAAACAAATGGGCAAAGTTTCTTTCACCCTGAATGCCCCTGTTACCTAGCAGTAAATAGGTACCTGGGAGTTAGTCAGCTGTCACGGGCTGCTTCCTGGGGGTGGAGGTCTGGTCGAGGACCGGGCCGCGGGGACACTAAAAAGCCCCGAAATCATCTCAAGATAACCTCAAGATAACCCTAAGAAAAGTCAAGCAAACCTCTGCCTTCTGCAAAAAGGTAGTTATTCAACAGTATAAATCTTTGTATAATCCAAGTGGTGCAACCCCCCCCCCACACTTAGATTAATGTATCCAAGCATGGAAACCTCATCTTCAGATAGACATAGCTGCTTTGAAACTAGGCCAACAGTGGCCATCAAAAAACATTCCAGAACTAAATCGACTCTCATACCAGGAACAGTTAAGGGTCACAGGGCTAACACCACCACAAACCAGACATGACAGGGCTAACAACACTGCAAACCAGACATGACAGGGCTAACACCACCACAAACCAGACATGACAGGGCTAACAACACCGCAAACCAGACATGACAGGGCTAACAACACCACAAACCAGACATGACAGGGCTAACACCACAAACCAGACATGACAGGGCTAACACCACCACAAACCAGACATGACAGGGCTAACAACACCACACACCAGACATGACAGGGCTAACAACACCACAAACCAGACATGACAGGGCTAACAACACCGCAAACCAGACATGACAGGGCTAACAACACCACAAACCAGACATGACAGGGCTAACACCACAAACCAGACATGACAGGGCTAACACCACCACAAACCAGACATGACAGGGCTAACAACACCACACACCAGACATGACAGGGCTAACAACACCACAAACCAGACATGACAGGGCTAACACCACCACAAACCAGACATGACAGGGCTAACAACACCACAAACCAGACATGACAGGGCTAACACCACAAACGAGACATGACAGGACTACCACCACCACAAACCAGACATGACAGGACTACCACAAACCAGACATGACAGGACTACCACCACCACAAACCAGACATGACAGGGCTAACAACACTGCAAACCAGACATGACATGGCTGATCTCATCGAAACTTTTAAAATACTGTACTGAACAATTTGGAGGATGTTGATTCTGTCAACTTCTTCAAAAAGTCAGGTGTCAGATGTAACAAACAAGAAGCAACGGTTTCAAGCACAACAAACCACAATGTAGGACTGAAAACAGGCGATGCTTTTTCAACCAAAGGATTGTAAACTCATGGATTCGCCTACCCTCAGAGCAGTAAATGCCAAAACTCTGTTGAACTTTAGAATCCAGCCCGATAAAATCATCAGGACAAATGGGGGACTTTTGATAAGACCTTTTACCGGGTTTCTGTCCTCGTCAAGACAATTAGAGAGTGGCCCTCAGGTAAATTCAGGTAAACTGGAAAAGGTGCAAAGACATGTAATTTAATGGCTTTCAGAACTGGGACACAATACCTACGAGGAGAGGTTAGAGTTGTTAAATATACTAAAGCTAGAAGATAGAACAAAACAAGGGTATATGATCAATATGTACAAAATAATAACAGGAATCGACAAAATTGACAGAATTTTTTAAAACTACATTTTCAAGAATAGGTCATAGGTTCAAATGAAGGAAACAAAGCTGCTACAAAAAAATTATAAAGTTCACTTTTGCAGAGTGGTAGATGGTTGGAACAAGTGAGAACTATGAGGATGGTTGTGGGATGATGTGATTAAGTTAATGTATTTATTTAATTTACCTTCGAAAGTGAACTGTATAATGAATGTTTGTTAATGGACTGTATTCCATAGGTGTATTTTCACATAAAACCACAGTTGGGGGTTGTAGTGTTAGTATTAATTGGGATAGAGCAGAATGAGTATTTATTAAATGTAAATTAATTATCAGTATTTATTTATTACTTCAATTTGACAATTTCTGCTCTATCCATAGATTAGTATTAAACTGTTTCAACCACTTAGCTGTTTAGTAGAACAGTGGTCCTATGTCTCGAGTGGCGTCACCACCTAGCCAGTTTGCCTCGTGTTCAACACCCACGCCTTGTGATGTCTGTCTACTCTCCTGGTGTCTGGCTACTCCTTGCTGTGCAGATCAGTTAAGCCTGCCAGTAATTTATTCTTTAATAAGAGCACCAAGAGATTAATACCTATTT